TGGAAGATCACTAACTGATCGGTATGCCGAGTGGGTGTGAAAAAAGATCTTTGAAGCCGGTAGAACCGTTGAAGACCCGGATATATGGAGTATGAGGTCATCATCCATAGACTGACAAGTTCATCTGTGGCAAAGATGAGGTTTCCAAGGGTCCTATGTATGTATACAAACTACGATCTAGATATCACCATACTTGTCGGTCGGATATCAACCGAGTCCATACCAGATGCAGCCTACCAAGGTTTGAGCCCTAGTCCAAAAATTGGTCAGGAGTAACTTTTGGTTTCCAAGGAGAATTATTAATTCCGACGTTCGCCAAGTTCGCCTTTCTCGGCTTAGTGGCAGTCAATCCATACCACACTTTGACTAAGCGGGAACCAATCAAATGCCGATAAGATAATAGGTAGCTCTCTCCAGATCGACTGATTAACCGTGAAAAAAGAACCTTAGTTATTAGTACGTGACATATAACATTCCTGTACGGTACGTATTCAATTGGTACATCGTTAACGAGTACGGAGTACGGAGTAGAACAGGTCACTTGTCACTCGGCTCAACTGCTGGATTGCCTACTCGGGACTAGTCAGGTACATCTCCATATATTTCTCGTACAAGGGAAAATTACCATGCAGAGCGAACGCTAGGGACCGACGGAATCGGAGGTATCCGCAGAACAACTCTGCTCGGTGGAGCGTTGGTTGAAATTGGATGATACAATTTAAATTTCAAAACTCGAGAAAAATTCTGGAAACTGTTTCCCTGATCAAGCGATAGAACACGGATTCTTTTTTTGCCATGATTATTATTAGAACACCACACAACAACTTCTGTCCAACCCTTTTCCTGGACCCTAGGACCCTAGGTATTGTTAATAGCCAACAGTACTAACTTATTTCTTACGAAGGTCCGATGGCAGGTGATCCCTCGACCAATTTTGTATTATTCCCAATGTTCCCCCCCAATGGGAATGAAGAGTCCTTCTCCAAGCCATTGCTAGTTCAGGGCTAATGAAGTTAAGAGAAGGGGATCCGGACCGGCCTTTTATCGGCTTAGCCTCTCAATTGGGGGTGACACTGAATTAGTGCCGGTCTTAGCGCTTGGTTTAATTTGCCCCTTCCATGAGGTATTATTATGATTATTATTATGACCTGCACTGGGCTCCAGACCTCGTGGTTTCCTGTCGTCGACCCCAAGATGCTACTAGTTTACTAGTACATAAGGTAGTCACGCCGTCTTGCAGTCCCTTCTTTTCCCTCTTCTCTTTCCCTTTTTTTCTTTCGAATCGGACAGCCTTCATTCCTTCCTTTTCTGGGTACCCTTGTTCCTGCGTATATATCTACGCATCGTCCTTCTTTTTTACTATCCTACTGAGTTCACTCCTTTAACCATCAAACTTACGTCGAAGGCTTTCCCGTCTCGCTGTATCTCACTTGTATTGCATATCATACCAGCATCGACCTTACCTCGATATCTTCAACTACCTTTTTGGGATTATCAAATCGCCTTATAACAATTTCATCAAAATGCGTTCCGTCGTCTACTTGACTCTCAGCGCCCTGGCATCCCTCGCTGCGGCTGCTACTGGTGCCAACCCGTTCAACATCCCCTCCGAGGGTTACTCGTTCGAGACTGGTGAGCCGACTACACTCACCTGGGAGCCTACCACCAGCGGCACCGTCACCCTGAAGCTTCAGTGGGGTGCTGTGATGACTACAAACTCGGGTACTACCATTGCCCGTGAGTCCCCCTTAATTTCCCATGAGTAGTAGTGATGTTCCATGCGCATGTATGCTGACGGTGTCTTCAGAAAACATTGCCAACTCGGGCAGCTTCACATGGACGCCTCCTGCCAATCTCGCCGCTAAGCCTGATTACACCATTGAGATCTTCAGCGACGATGACACCAGCGAGGTCAACTATCTGCCACGGTTCACTGTGGCCGGTGCTACTGCCGCCGCGTCTACCACTGCGTCTTCTACCACTACCGCTGAGACTACCTCTGCCACCGAGTCTTCCGCGACTGAGACCACCACCAACACCAAGTCCGCCACCGAGACTCATACCACCTTGACTAAGGCGACTGCCAGCACTGCCTCCAATACTTCGGCTACTGCCACTGGCACCAGCACCGAGTCCACTAGTGCCTCCGCTAGCACCACTGGCACCTCGACCGGCTCCTCTACCGGCTCTGCCTCGACCTCCACCGAGGCTTCCAGCACCACCTCCGCCAGTGCATCGACCTCGACCACCAGCGTCCCCAATGTCAATGGTGGTATGGTTAACCGCGTCTCTGGCGGCATGCTGGCGATCGTCCTGGGTGCCATTGCCGTCCTGTGAGCTTCCTCCGGACTCCAGTCGGCGACCTGACCATACTTTATTAATCAGATAGTTCTTAAACTACTCTTCTATCGTTTTTCTTCGGTTTTCCTTTCCCTCTTATATTTCTCTTTTTTTTTTTTTTTTCGTTAACTGAGCGGACGTGTTTTATACCCTTGGGTATTGAAGTTGTTTGTCTCGGACGTGAGTATAGTCACGCTTCTTATCTCTTCTTTGCCCGGGCAATGTTTTGGCCTGAATATTGTTATTACGTCGTGATTACCCGGATGGATTGAGCCCCCGGGGCCTTGTATGGTATGTACTAGTATGTAGATATGTGTATCCTGTAATGAATGACCAGTCCAACATGCGAGCAATCGCATCAAGTTTTCCTTTCATGGATATCATCCGATTTGTTTTGATTTGCGTACCTAGTGCATCATGGCTCAACTTAGGAGATAGGTCAGAACCAAATTTCGGTGATAACCACGGAGCAATTATTGGGGGAGAGTTCCATAAAATTGGGCCTTGGACTAGTACCGACTTTTGGGCCAGGCACCAAGTCAACAGTGGGTCCCATCGGTAGGTTGACAATCCAACTACTTGATAGCAGTAGTGGACCGTTGAAAAGGAACCCAACGGGTCCACCCGCCTTACACCAATGAGATATCCTGTCCCGGGAAATTAACCCTGACGCAACACCACAGGATTCTGTCGAGAAAACACACCTGACACCGTGTTACTAAATCCCCCTTATCGAAAAGAAAATAAAATACGCTACAGCCCCGTAGGTATACCTATCCGACGTCTTGTTTTTTTAATGTTTTGTCTCAAGAGGCACGAGAGTGTCAGACAATCCACGTAGGAACCCTGAGACATGGCCGCGACAAACTTGAAGTGCAGTTTCAACCTCCGGCATCGGGAAAGCAAGGGGATCACGATCGTCCGTCCTGATTGTGATAGATTATCACTCGTCATGCAGATTGGCTGATAAGAACCGATACCAAGACGGAGCGGAGCCTGGTTATTATTACGATAAACTGTCAATTAGAGGGGGATCAGCACATTTTTACCGGTTGGCTTTAAGGCTGTTTTTCGAAGTTACCGACTACGGAGGACTCCGCTCCCAAGTAGCATCGACGGCATACGAACAGGTCTCGTCTCCTGAACAGGTACGGAGTAAGAGTAGACCGACACTTGCCGACTTGCCTTTTATGGGTTGTCGTCTATCTCGTTTGTCTTGATATCGCGGGGGCGAAACCTTCGAGAGTGATTGGTGGATTAGTGGAATTACAGTATAATTACAGAGGATGGTAGTTTTATCGCAAGAAACCATCAGCACTTGGTCGTCTGGTTTACTTGATTCATGAGTCGTGAACACTTTGGGAATACTTGATTGATCACGGATTATACAGCGTACTGTGCTCACTGTAGTGACATTTTTGACATATGCATGTATTCCGTATGTAGTAAGTCAGTCTCAGTGTTTATCCGGTGGCTTCCGCCATCCATACAGCCATACAGCCATACATCCATACATACAGGTACATACTGTCGTACTACTAGTACATGTATATAGCTATTCCTGCTGTGGAAGTGGCCAAGGATTCATGACATTTTACTGAAAGAAGAAAGCGAGAGTTACAAACTGAATGCAACCCTGTCAAAATAAACTAGCATAAACAATGACAGGATTCATCTCAGCTCCAATCCTTTATTGACCAGGATGTAATGAATTCGATATCCATTCAAATTAACCATTCACCCTATCATCGACCCGGATTAAAACGTTGATCTAACCAATTAATTAACCATAGGCAACAAGCTTCCCTGCCTATCTCAAACGATTTTCATCGTTAAATTAGTATTGATGAAGTATTGAAAAATAAAAATAAAATAAAATCAAAGATAAATATAACCCCCCCCCCCCTCAGTGGCCACTTCAAAGAAAAATACTAAATGCAACCAGAACGAACGTGAAAAAGTGAGAGTGGAGGCGAACAAGCTTTGGTTTGGGATGGACCATGAATATAGTTCAATAGTGTCTTGTTAGATTACTACTTTCACACTAGGCTTGGAGACCCGTGGTTGGCTTAGAAGGGCATTTGTCGGATGAAATTTTATGACCGAGTTTCTTGTCTGGCCCTTGGCGGGGATGTTTCTCCGGAACCGAGGTCTGGTTTTCTCTCGTTGGTCCCTAGGTACTATTTTTGTTTTTGAGGCTGAATGTGGAAGATGGTTTTATTTTATTTTATTTCTTATTCTTCGCTCGTTATTTTTTTATTTCTTTTCTTTTCTTTCTTTTTTTTTATTTATTTATTTTTTTTTTTTTAGCGCTGGTAAACTAGTAAGAGACATGGTTAAGGGGGGGAAAGAAAAAGGAAAATGTGATTTGACATAACATGCATGTGGTTTGTCGACAGGATGGAACGGGGATTGATTTCTAGTGGTATTATTGGCTGGGTTAGTGAGGGCTCGTTATAGTAAATAACAAGTCTGCTTTGGAGTACTAGGTAACAACAGCTGTACGGTAGGTACCCTAATTGAGGCGGCCACTTGAAGGCTAGCATGATCAGACGATTTTGGTTATATTTGACACTTCACCTCTGTATTGGAACTGGACGCATAACAGACACTGCGGCCAGGAATTGTGAAGGGCACGAATGATATCCATTCAGATTCACCTAGTAGCCTAGCGATTTATTGATCCTGTTAATAAGCCCCTTCCCGTCCGCAATATTCTTAAGATTGCGAGCTAAAACCTTGAGGACTCGCTCATTGTAGTGAGTCGAGTTTCCTCCAACATGGGGTGTAATAACGACATTCCTCGCCTTCCACAGTGGATGTCCCGCAGGCAATGGTTCAGGATCCGTGACATCAACCGCAGCTCCTCTGATTGTCCCGTTATTCAAAGCAACGACGAGATCATCGGTATTTACGATTGGACCCCGTCCAACGTTGCTGACGAAGGCGTTGCGCTTCCCGAGAGCTTGGAACTGTTCGCGAGCGATCATGCCCCGGGTTAGCGAGGTAAGGGGTAGAGTAATAACCAGTAGATCAAGACCGGCAAGGAACTCATTTAGCTGATCGCAGCCATGGTACCATCGGGATGGAATGTCGCCGTTGGGATCACCCAATCCCGCCTCAACGTACGAGTAATCACGCTTAGACTCTAGAGTTGGTCGTTCGTGTAGCGTAAAAGCATGAACGTCCATTCCAAGCGCATTCGCTAAGCGTGCGCACTGACGCCCAGTGCACCCGTATCCAAGAACGCCCCTAGACACGATAAGAGAACCGTATCTTTCATTCGCATTGATGGGTGGTATACACACATTCGTAAACCGACAGCATCCTCCGTGTCTTCGTCTGACTCAGGTAGAGCCCATGTTTCGCGCTTTTGGTTGTCCCAGTGCTCGAACACTAGTAATCCTCAGAGATTAGTTCGCACCGAATACAGAGGAATCCACGAAGCGATTACAATGATGTTGGAAACCGAGGAAAGTAGCAATGACCCATTCGGCGATTTGTGGACTGCATGTAGTCAGCTTGCGAGCGGGAAAGAAGCCAAACATCCACCTACGGGTGTACACCGTTCGCCGTACAGAATGATACATCGCTGTCTTTGAAGAGGGTTGTGTCTGCGATGTGGTTGCAACCGGCGGTGTGAAGTTGTACGTATCGCAGATTAGGGACTTGTTCTTTTGTTGGGACATAGTTCCACGTGAGAAGAATTGTGATCGAGTTCCAGGTCTCCTGCGATATATCTGGGGGCATCTCGGTGTCCTGCATGTCCCTTTTATAGGTGATTACCCGGATGCCGGGACTGATTGTTGGTAGACTCTCGAGGAATGATACAGGGAGATCCCATGGTGCTATGCTTAGCAGTACTTCCGGATTTTGGACCGAGTTCTGCATCATTTTGACTTGTTGTCTTTGCGGGAGTATCTGTTGAGTAGGGCGAGCGGCGAACTGATGTCGGGGCGAGGAGAATCGTAGGGTCGATGATACAATAGGGTGTGCGGGGATGCGGCGTTAAAAGCCCTATTAGAAACCATGTCTATAGCAAGAAGAAATGGATCGGGGATTAGGGCAATCGTTTGTTTTAAATATGGTGAATCTGACTGGAGCTCGCTGTTATTAGTCCAATTATGTACGTCTACCAGTGGCTCTCTCTATAAAGTTGAATGAGAACATTTAAAAGATTGCCATTTTCTTTGTGGGTATCGAGCTGATATAGAATTATTATGGTTATAATAAGATACGGGACGTGATGCCCAAACAAACTGCGATCGGGCGTGAGTGGATGGTTTCAAAGCATGATCTTTCTCATAGGGTTATTCGTTTAGATATACTTACCGGTAGCCCTGATCTTCGGATTGAATCCTGGGGAGTGTCACTTGATATGCGGGGTGAAGATCTAACCAGAATAGGCAAGTTAAATGAGAGCACATCTGCCCAACTAAGCCCGAAATGGTAGATTCGCCACCAACCCGCGTGGACGTTGGATCAAAGTCGCCGTCTCTTTACGACCAACAACCGCGCCAGATGCAGAGGGAAATCAATAACTATCAAATCTAGATAAAAGAATGACATTATCTAGCAACAGGGACATCTTACAGGCAAGTTCCCTCCCATTTGAGGACCCTCATGAACGTGCAAACCTTTGGTCAAGTGCGAGTTATCTAACGAATGAACCAGACTTGGACTTGAGTAATCAATCACGAATATCGGGAGTTACCCCGCCATTCTCGATAAGGCCGCCCTGCTTCGCTTGCTGCATTTTAGACCTACTAGTAGCTTTTACCTGCCTATCTAACCTGGCTTATTGTCAATGATGCTTTGATTTAATGTTCTTATTGCTCAATCAAAACGTTCAGACCCAACTGTCAATATGCCCCGTCAAAAACGTCGGTACGTTCCGAAGGTAAAAGGTGCGCATAGATGGAATCAGACGTGCCAATTATATCGTGGGTTCTCTGACCGGATATGTGTGCAGGTTGCTATGAATGCTCCCAGCGCCGAATCCATTGTGACCGCGTACAGCCATGCTGTGGGAAATGTGCGTCCAGAGGCATACCATGCAGTGGGCTTGGGGTCCGCTACCGGTTCCGCGACGGGGGAAACCAAGGTAAGATAACCTGGCAAGAGGAAAATTCACCTCAGGGTGGGTATGTTTTTCCTTAATGATGGTTTCGCCGAAGGTGAGCATACTAACTGGGCTTGCAGCAAATGGCCGGGTGATCTCCCGCAGCATGAACGCTCACCGTCTTTTGTTCGTGGAGGCTCTTCCGAGGAGCAATTCGACTGGACTATCAATGTCACAAATGACCCCGCAGAACCCAATGCACTAGCGGGGCTGGGCCCTGATTCACCAAAATCATCTGCTGGTAGCCCTGAAGCAATGACCACCCTCCCTCTAAGCGTCGATCTAGTGGACCCAAGCAATGAATTTCTGTTGACTTACTGTAAGCCTCATCGACAGACCCGATTGAAGTTTATATAGGATAATAACCCTTCAAGTCTCCCACAATATTGCACCTCAAATGGTGGTTATGGATGACAAGTACAATGGATGGCGGTACTTGATTCTGCCCTTTGCGTTCTCCGACAAAATGGTTATGGATGCGGTGTTGGCTGTATCAGCCTTCCATCTCTCTCACAAGACCGGAGGGACACTCCCTGTCAGACCGGATAAGCTCTATGCAAAGGCAATCTTAGGCCTACAAAATAGAAGCTCTTTGGATGAGTACGACATGCTCACGAGGCAGTCTATATTCGTTGCAATCATTACACTGCTGGTAGGGGTCATGGTCAACGGATCTTCCGATTTCCCTATCCTGTTTCACATGTTGCAATCTGCTCTCGATGCGGTCGGGGGAGAGGGCGGGCTTGGGAACGGTGACATGGCCAATTTTCTGCTGCGGCAAATACGCAAGTGAGTATCCAAAGCCTCCAGGGGTTGCTGAGTACCATCATTAATCCTGCCAGGTTTCGTGTCTATGCTGCACCACTGCTGAGTGAGGAGGCTGGTGTACGTAGCATTGTTGCCCATGCCCAAGAGAGCTTTGACTGCCTGCACTACAACGGCAACCTCCACCCCGACCATGCACTCACCTTTTATCTGAATGCACATCTTCGACAGCAAGCATATGACATATATCTAGAGCGCGCACTAATAGGGCCTCACGGCACATTAGACCCTGACAAGATAGAGCGATTCAAGGAAACACTAGGGTTGTTCCCGGAGGGATCATTAGGAGAACATTCCCTTGTGTGGCCCACGTTCATTGCTGCATCAGAGAGCTTGAAGGATGAGCATCGGCTATATTTCAAGCAGTTCTTGGAAAAGCAATTTCACCGTAATGGGTTCCTTAATCTGCAGCAAGCTCTCAAGCTTCTTGAAAAGATATGGACGCGAGGCAGTTATACAAATTGGCCCACACTTCTCCCAGAACCACGAGTGTTTATTATGTAGCAATTCTATTATAGACAAAAGCAGCATTGTACGATCAAGGCCCTCTGCGAATGGATTTCCGGATTATAAATTATACATACAAGACCACCAATGCGATGTTCCAGTTAACTGACAACAAAACAAGAGCGTGTTTACAGTCGTAACTGAGATCTGAGCTAGAGACTATCCATAACAAACCGCCACCTGTGTATACATCTCTTACACGCCTTCTTCACCTCTGCAACCATCAAGCCGTCAAGCAAACTGCAATTGATTCCGTGTCCCAAGCAAAGAACGCTCCATTGGAGTCGTTTTCAACTTTAACCAGGGCCGTGCCTCAGGTTGCGAGAGAAAACACTGGGTTAGATATTCTTCACACAACTACCCAAACAGATCCTGCTTCTGATCATCGCATATACTCTGAAGCCTCTCTGGCACTACCTTCGCCGCCCTAAGTACAAGACAAAAAAATAAAATGGTATGAGTGGGAACCCTGGAACATCCTTACCTGGTACTGTGCGGTGCCACACGGCTATTGACTATTGACACAGTGAGTGGGGATACATGGGACAGTTTCAGAACCGGGACCTAGTGTATGTATCATTTTCTTGAATGGAACAATTCAAAGGTACGCCCGCTTCCTAGCACTCATCCTTTAAAAAATCGAGGGATTATGATGCTAGAGACTGGGAAGATAAGTGTCGTAAGCTCACGTGTCGCTGAGATCCGGTCCACCGAACGAACAAAAATCTCCGCTGCGTCTCTACATGAGTTGATGGAACATACGCTCAAAGAATTCATACGCAAAGAGGCAAGCCGAAAGAGATCTTTATTAGGTGCTGATGAATGCCTTGGGCTTTCTACATCACCTATCCATACATCTCGCCCGTTCCCCAAATGGATTGGCTCTCTGCGCGGGAAAGCATTGGTTCTGAGCAGGACACAATTATATTGTGGTTTGGGGAGACACGAGTGGGTTTATGTTCAGGTGAAAACTTCGGAAACGGATTTGAAGCTGTGCTTTAGCGTATGTGCTACTATGTGGGGTTGAGCGCCCCGAGAAAGATAAGAAGCCATGATGCCACCGCGAGAAGACCAGCAAATTTATTGATCTGATCTACATTGCTTGTTCTACCTACCCTGTTTCATCACTTCCCAAATCCAAGCACGGTCCGGCATGACGGATGTTGCAATTGCGCCAGCTGTGGCTCCAAGCCCTCAACAGGACAAGTTCATGAGCCCCCGGAAACCTCTCCCACAGTCTCTCATTGAAGGTGCTCAGATACCAGACCGGACACCATTTTATGCAGAAAAGCATGTCAATTTTAAGTTTCCCAAAAGGATAATCACGATGAAGGAAATCGGACTGGAAGGCGCGGGCATCACGTCCACGGCCATCTCGGAGCCATTCACACTTTTCACCGAAGAGGCAATTAAGCAGATGAGAGCCGAGATATTCAGCCGGCAAGTGCTGGAGAAGTATCAAGTTGGTTCGGACCTGGCAGCCAATATGATTCGAGGTTACTGCCCAGAGTGCGTTGTTACCTTCGTTCTCTCTTCACAAGATATACTTATGCACATATAGGAAGTCCTCATTTATCTACGACGCGTGGAACAGCCCTGCAGTTTTGGGAGCACTCTCGCAAATAGCTGGAATCGAGCTGGTTCCTGCTATGGATGTAGATATTGGACATGTCAATATCTCAGTTCGTGATGACGCTGCAACCGCCAGTGTACCCGGCAGGGATGCAGATGATAAGCCTGCTTTTGAGTGGCATTCTGACAGCTACGCATTCGTCTGCGTCACCATGCTATCAGATTGTGCCGGAATGATCGGTGGCGAGACGGCTATTCGGACAGGCACCGGCGAAGTTTTAAAATTCCGTGGACCTGCCATGGTAAGGAATTCTATTTTGATATGGAAGGCCCCATAGCTAATGGTGTAATCTAGGGCACGGCTGTCATTATGCAAGGTCGTTATATTGAGCATCAAGCTCTCAAGGCCTTTGGCGGTCGGGAACGTATCAGCATGGTCACATCGTTAAGGCCTAAATCGCCCTTTGTTCGCGATGAGACCATCATCAGACCTCTGTTGCCAATAACTCCCAAGAGGACTCTTTACTATCAGTATGTGGAGTATCGGCTAGAGAACTTGGAGGAGCGGGTGCGTCATCAGTTGAAGGTAATGCGGCAGCATAAGAAGGCAGGTCGTGACTTTGACGTTGCCTCGGCACGCGAGTTTCTGTTAGAAGAGAGAGAGTTCATTGATGCTATGTTAGAAGAACTGGGGGATTCATAAACTGTCAAACAGTCAAAATGATCAGTTCACGCTTGTTACGATATAATTTACTGGGCACTCATCGAAATGCTATTTTCGTCTTCAGTGCAGAACTCAGTCCAACAGAGTATATAGTCATCAAAGGCTACATTAAATCTTTTCATGTCCTTTCAAGTGCCTCACAGCCTCAGACTAGTAAATATCTTACATATAATGCCTCTATTCTGGACATGCAAACACATTCATATTGGTGCTCTCATAAACATCGCTTTTATCAAAAGTACTAAAGTTCCCAATACATCCGCAACTTAATCATCTTAACATTGGCCTCACGAGGCGACTTAGCAACATAAGAATTATACACGTCCATCGAAAGCCTGCATAGCTATGTTGACAACATAAGGCCTTTCGACAACCTAAGGCCGACGATATCCGATCCCAGGCATCCATCCCAGAACGCGTCGAATCACTGGGGCGAGCCATCGCGATCAGCCTCCTATTGGCCTACGTATGAGAAGTGGATTTTCGCGATGCGTGCAAGTCTAAGCCATACTCGGCTTTTCATTGGTTCCACTTGCAATGTCATGGCCAGAAACGTGGCTCAGAGGGTAACCAACAACATGGGAAAGTATATAGACGATGATAAAGTTATTCTAGAGTCTAGACCCTGTACCAACCACCTACAGCGTAGACAATGCATCCAGCACCGACTTCTTCCATCCACAATCAACACCAGACCCGGAACAGGAAGAAGGAGAATACGACGACGACGACGACGAAGGCGCAAGACGACCCCCCAAACCTCTCCGCCAGTTAGCACCGTAACCACCGACGCCTGATATCAAAACACACGTACACGTGAACCCAGATAGCAACCTGCCAACGCCAGATCTATGCCTTCGGCAATCTCAATCCCCCATTTTGGGCTTCCTGCCCCTCATATTGCACTGCATGAATCTCGTACACCGCGCCATCATGATGATTTCGCTATTGTAGTAGACTAGAAATGCGTTTTTCACTCTTCCAGAACTCCTGATTCCAGACGTCGAGGACGGTCTCTCTTCGCCGCAGCCAACGGCATTCGTGAAATACATCTCTAATTTGTCGTTCCTGGTGCTCCATTGAGGCGCGAATGTAACGATGGGATTAGAGCTACCACTACTACTGGGTAACTGGACGAACGAGGCCGCACCGCTTCCGTTTACGGTGCATCTGGAAGAGGGAGAGGCCAGTTGCATCGCCGAAGTCGCGGCGTTGGGGCCATGATAGGTAGTGACCGTGGACGGAGAAGAGTTTCTTCGGGTGGGGTTTGTGGCGGTTGCTGTCCGATGCGCAGGTTGAGATTGTAAAGTCGGTTCGGGATAGGCTGTAGGTATGTTGTCTGACGTGGAAGGCTGTAGGGGCCTCGAGACGATGTGATCTGAGCGGATGGCGATGAACCCGGTTGTTTGAGGATGTTTTAAATATTTGGATGTGTTACGGAGGGAAATTGAGAAGTATAGACATTGAGATTTCAGGTGGTGGGCTGGGTCTTTAATATTATTGTAACTATGCCTGTGGCCCCGTGGATGAGGAGTAAGTCTGATATACACTGCCTTCCTTCGTTGGACTGTCTTTGAATGGCTTGTTTTGCGAAACTTGTGTAGCCAGAGCTTCTCATAGATACATTTCATCTTGACTGCTGGTTTGATCATGGAGCTTGGAGAAGTTCACGAATAGCCACAAGTTGCTTTCCCAGGGCTGTCCGTGGTAGAAGAGCAGCAGAGAGACTACAGGGAAGTGGGTAACTAAAGTAAATTTATTGATCTCCACGTCGGGCGACGCCCTGATTTGTCTCCCAGGGATATCTGTGACGTATGTGTAATGAACTATGCCTTCGTGAGAGGTAGGACGGTGCGGTTGCTAGAGAATTTGATATAGTCCCTTGGAAATGTTGTTGCCAGGACGGTGTAGTAGGTGATTATACTGAAAGCTCGATGCGGATGGGTTTGGGTTGAGGTGTTAATGGGTAAAATTAGGAGGACGAAGTTATAAGACGCCGTAGCTTAGACGGATCATGTCAGTTACAACGTAGAAGTGTCCAGTATAAAAACACCTTGCATATTAGAATGGAAATTCTATTCACAACTGATGACGCTAATAATACCAAGAAATCAAGACAAAGTAAAGGGGAATCATTAGGTAAAGAAAACCACCATCATGCTGCCCACTGGGGACTGACTCTCTTGATAAATTTCATAAACTTCCAGAACCCAACAGCATGTTCGACATTGCCGTAGGGATCGACCACTCGTTCCGGGAATGCAATTCCTGCTCCATGCAAACCCGGGATGACACGGCCAGTCGTATCATGGAAGCCACCGGACGCCGAGTCAAATTCAGGGTCGAGGAGATGACCATTCACTGACAACTCAGGAAGGGGATCCCGAGTAAATCCTACAGCTTGCACCAGGTGGGTGCACGATGGCAGATGCCGCTCATATTGCGTGGCTTCCTGGCCGCCTCCGCAGTCCACCTTGGTGATGAACAGGCCGGCTTCGGACTGAGGGAGCTTGTCCTCCTCCAGCTGTTGCCGCGCAAAGTCAGCGGCAGAACCCTTCAAACCGGTGTTGTCCCGCAGAATCCAGCCATCCATGTACTCGGCATACCTCAGTGGATGCCGAGTGAACCACTTAATGCGGAGCTGGGGGTGGGTACTGCGGGCCAGATCTACCAGGTTGAGGAGTGCCAGAATGGCACTATGGGAAGCTCCGACAACCCCCACAGTCTGGGACTCACTGCGGGGAAGATACGAGACGAGGTCACTAGGTTTGAGCACTACATCTAGATCCAACCTCTCGATGTGCTGTCCACACACAGGAATCGGCACCTCTGTCGGCGATGATCCCGTACACAAGATGAGTCTAGGGGTAATGACCTCAACTTCGTCGAGGTGGTCCGCGCGTTGGATCCGAACAGTCCAAGACGACGTCTAAGAGCGACAAGGACAACGATTAGCTACACAGGGCACGAGATCTCCTGGGACGGCCATCTATATAGGACTTTATACTGACATTCTCTACCAGGTTGGCAGCCGTGACATACCCCCGACACGCATAAACCTGGTCCATCTTGGTGATGCCATCTGTCAAGGCACGGACCATATCTGCCGCATGATGCAGGTGACAGGTCTTCTCCTGATCGAGTTTGGCCATCGTTGAGAATGGACTAGGGATACGGGTGCCTAAGATTACGGAGCGGAAAGGCTGGACTGCTGTGGCATACGCTTGGAACAGAGCGACTTTGGTGTTGCTGAATCGGCACCGAGACAAGTCAGTCGAGCGCTCCTCATCCGACGCCTTCGATGAAGTCAGGCTGCCAGACAGAAACACTCACCTAGGCACTTCACGGTACTTGCGATTCACCCGACCAGCCTGGAAGGATGGATCAATCCAGGCGATCTTCCCTCCTAGTTGTTTCTCCAACAGATTCCCCATAACGGCAAGACCGGCGGGGCCGGCTCCCACGACGACCGCGGCACATCTCTGTGAATTCATTTCCGAGGCCGTATAGGTGGTGTGATTTGAGTTTTTAAGGATACCAGGAACGAAACAGAGCGTTTTGTGGCATAGAAATAGTGCACGGCTTGCGATGGCAGAATCCAGAGAAAGATGGGTGGGAGAACGCTGGGAGAGAAGGCCGAAATTTATGGGGAGAATGCCCAGGGGTGGAATGTATGGAAACACCGGTGTAATTCTCGGCAAAACAAGCTAGGGAGCGTCGTCATTGTGCCTTGGTCTAGACGAGAGGGGAAGGCACATGGAGAAAACGACCAAGCGGATGGGACAGAGCGAATGACAGCAGCCAGAACTAGTCATTCGTAACTGGCACTTTGGGGATCGTTTTGTGCGGAAATGCGGCTTCAAGGCCGAAAGGAAGGCGCTCTCGGGCGAGATGTACAACTCCTCATCCTCAGTTGACGCAGTCCCCGTATCAGGCGGTGATACCCTCGTAGCCCGTCGTCTGGTAGTCGCCGATTGCCCTCCCTCAAATAAGCCAATTGTTGCGCGACCTGACGCATCCGCCCCACTCGCAGGCAAATCCTTGAGCGCTTTCCGTCGGAGGTCACATGCTGGTCGTGTTCGTGTCTTGGCTGGTGAAGAGGCAAAGACGAAGAAAGAGTCAAGGGGTGAAGGTCGAAAGAAGAGATCAAAATCTCAGTTCCATAGACCGAGTGACTGTCAAGTTGTCTCTTCGATCGCGAAAAACAGAGGATCCTTTTCAGGCGTCTGGTGATGGAGGAAGCGAGGACCTTATATTCAGATGAGTTAGTTGTGGATCGTCGCAGTCTTGGCGCAATTGCGTGATTTCTCAAAGGAATGAGGTTATTGCTGGCGGCCTGATTCGAAAGGCTGTCACCCTATTCCTGAATTGGGGGGTCTTGTCCTATGATCAAGTAACTCAAGTATGTTTCATTTATTCATCCATACATACATTCCTCATCGGAAATAAATAAATAAATAAAATGAAATAATAAAATGCTGGGAACTACATATCATTCATGAGTTACCCCCATTCACCCAATGATCCAACAATATCTCACAGGTCCAGCCTTGATATCTATTTACTATCGTATACCTAGCATTCCCTCTCACTGATTCTCTATGTATATATGTACCAGTCCAGCCGGGAGACGCAGGGGACAATAAGGAGCCACCAACTTTACACAGCCCAAAATACCCGCACTGACAACCGTTCCACATGGTTCGACCATGCCCCAAACCGTGCTCGACCCCAGACGGCGATTGTATCGCCAATCTGCAAATTACGCACTTGACTGCCATCGAGCGTGGCTCGTCCTCGACCTTGGTTATGCTGGATTTCTTCCGCTTCCGCTGAATCGGCGCTGATGTTGTCAAGATGATGCCAGGCGATATGATAATGCTGGGTTCCGCTCGCCGCCGCTCGATTCGCTTGGAGTTTGTGGGAGCTGGGCAGGAGAAGAGGATGATCTTGCCCAAACCGGACCCCGTTCGCATCTCGCTCGGGAATAGATGAATTTCCAGACGTTGGCAAATTCTCGAAGGGGACAACTTCGGTGTCAAACCAAGTATAAGATCCGTCAAACGTGCCATGCCCGCTGTTAACAAAGCCCTGGTCATGCGAGGCGATGGAGAAGACAATCTTCCGACAAGGATGAATAGTCCGGTGAGGGAGAACTTTAGGCGAGTCACTGCCCAATGTCTACGAGATGTCAGCGATCAAAGTTAGTGGAGAGATATGCCAGGTGAAGAGTTCTGGAGAGTATGCAGTATACATTTTCATCATAGCACAGTGGTGCTGTCCTGACCAACACCTGATCTTTGTCCTGGTGAATAATTCTCTTTTGATCCAAGGTAGCCTCGATGGAGGGCCAATATTCAGCCGCATCCACGATCAAATCGACAATCTCAACGGGTAACCCTTCAGGGATTATCTTCCATCGCAGCAGATACCGAACTTTAAGCACATCGTAGAGTTCGGGGTAGAAGATCTCCGAGTCAGTCGGTCCATGGTTGTCGTCAGCGGTGCTATTTTGGTTGCCCATATTAGATTGGGGCTCGGGCTCGTCGTTAGAGGAATTCGACTGTCTGCGTCTGAGCCCACGGAAGCGTGGAACCATGGGGAGCATCATCTAGAAAGCAAGTGGGTCTAGACCTCGTGTTAGGAATGGTGCGATAATGAAGAGTATATCGTAAAGGGTGACAAAATTAAAGTCACTGGGAAAGCACGTTCTAGATAAATTATCTATCCTTATCAGCGAAAGGACTGGACGGCTGGTTTGATGATTGCTCTAGGTAATGATCCACCTTCTAGGCGCCGAGCTGAAAGTGAAGAGTTCCACACAGCCTCGATTAAGTCAAGCTGAAGACAATAACGAAAGATGGGTCAAAGTACAAGTCCACTGACTCAAGCCGTACATACAGATTCGACACAGTCCTTTTATGGCTCTTGCGCTCACTCAGACACGCTACCTTCCTGTGTATTTACACCCCGCGTCGGGTGGGGGAATCTGGGCTGAGTGGTGATCGATCGACAGCTGTACAATGACCCGTCCTGTGAGATCATATGACCCTACTGTCAACAGACAAGCGAGAAAGATCAATTATGGTAAAGCACAGTAGTTAATACAAGATGAAGTAGTTGTTCTTAAGTATTAGTACCTGGTACTAGAAAAGTAGTAGGTAGTTGCCTTCTTTGACCGATTGGGTTTAGCCCAAAAGCCCATGACTGGATGACTGGATGACGTCAGAACCCTGGGCTGCACGGCCGGACACATTTATACTACATACTAGTGAGGCTTCAGGCACTACACTATCCTCTGCTTAATCATTACAGGTATAGTACCGTAGGTCTTTATTTAAGGTTCATTTCTTTTGTAAAATACATATATGAGGGACAGAACATGTAATCTACTTCATACTCTCAGTCTATTCAGTCTTCCTCTTTTTCCCTCCCGCTGCCTTGTACGCGGCGGCTCGTTTGCTACTGCGGTTTTTCGGCTTGCCTTTGCTGCCACGACTCTTCGTCTTCACGCGAATACGCGATGACCCATCATCTGTCGCCCGGTGGCCTTCAAACACCAACGAGTTGTTGGAAATAGATTTCGTTGCATCTGCCCTGACCTTGGCCGCACCCGCTCTGCCGAAAAGCTTACCAGCTCGACCTTGAAGCGTCTTGTCCGCCTCCCGTAGCGATTTGCCTTGAGTGCTACCGCCGGCTTCACGTTTCTTCGGCTGTTTCTTGGCTCGCATGACACGTAGCTTCCGGGGGAGCATAGGCGGATACTGCTTTCCATCCAGCAGAAGGGCCTCCTCCACACAATTCTGATCGTAGAATTGGACATAGGCAAACCCTTTCGAAACACGGGTGACACTGTCGCGAACGACCCGAACGGACTCGACATTGCCTCGGCGGATAGTCTGGTCTTTGGGTTTGCTGGTGTGGGCATTAAAGGTCCGCCAAAGTCCTTCTTCAACATCGGCAGGAGCCTTCTTCTTCTTCGGCTTTTCCTCATCATCGGCATTGCCTTCCTGGTCCACGAAGTTGAGATTGCCAACGAAAACGCACCGTTTATTATCGACCGGGGCGGGATGTGCGACGCTATCAACACGTACGTGTCTATCCAAGACGACAGTCCCGTTCAGGGCAGCAGGAGCCTTCCGAGCGGCCTGGACAGTACTATAAACGATATAGGCGTTGGTACTAGGAGTGGTTTCATCCAGAACCTCGCGCTTTGCAAAGGCAGCACGCTTCGGGATCTTTCCACCACTCGCGAAGGCTGTAGAACGGAAACGTATCGATTCCACTTTGTGCGGTCCTGTAGATTCAGGGAGTGTAGAAAGAAACGACTCAAAATGTTTCAAAAGGGTTTTCTTGGCAGACTTGGACTTGATGGCCTCATTGGAGACATTGCTTAGGAACACCGTGCGATTGGACTTGTCAATATTAGACGACTGAGCGTCGCCAGTCAGAGTTTCGTGTTTGGGAATCGCAATCTCTCCATCTTCGTCGGAACTTTCATCCTCATCCTCACCGTCGGGTTTGTCGGTAGATGTTGCTTCGTCCTCTTCTTCACCCTCGGCTTTTTGCCGCTTTGCTTTTTCCGCACGGCGCTTCTGTTCTTCCTTCTGTTCTTCTTTCGCTATGCGACGCATGTAAGATTCTTCGAGATCTTCTCCCGCAGTCCTCTTTCGTTTCCGACTGGGGGGCTCTGAAGCTGCCTGAGCAGGGTCATCACCAGCGTCGCTCGAGGCTTCAGATACTTCCTGCATAACCTGATCTTCATCTTCGGGCTCCGACACATCTTCACTGGTATCGTCACCTGCGGCAGGTTTTTCAACGGTGCTGCTAGTTGTGGGCAACGACGGTGCTTTTACTGGGCCCGACTAAAATATGTGACAGACATTAGCCAAGTTTTCAACAATCGAAAGCAACCCACTTACACTCGTCTCAAACAAGGACGCCAATGTTGGGTCAACTGCGGCACTTCCAGCTATGAAAGGAAGAGATGTCTCTGCCTTTTCGGTCTGCGGAGCGTTTTCCGACTGAGATTTTGATTTCTTTCCCATCGTGAAATTAACTGTGAGAGTGTCCCGCCTCTCAAGATATACGGCTTGTTTCTAGCTAAAGAAAAAAAAAATTAGAAAAAGAGGGAGTGTAATGGCGGGGAGCGTATTTTCTTTCTGTTGCTGTCCGTACTCCGCATAACTTTTTTTTTCTGTTTTACTCTTTTTGGATCTTGGCAACGGAAGCTGATATATCACGTGAAGAATCTGATAAATCGTGGTAGTTCCTCACTCGGGCAATTATAAATTATTTTTTGAAAAAATCAACCTTACCAGCCACTTTGCTCACATCTGTCAGTGTGTTACTGATCATGTGGAACTTTTACTTGCTTCTTTTTTCTGTTTTGATTCCCTACTAGTCGGTTGGCATGTCGCGGCGCATGAGATAGCCAGAAGCATATCATCATACCCCCAAAGGCGGTGAGTAATGATCCGAGTGAAGGAAAAGCGAAAAGACGGGCAGAAAAGGACCGGACGATACGGGCGGCATACGGCAGCGTGACGCTCTCTCAGTCTCTCGCTCCCTCGCTCTCGGTCATGATCAATCATTCTTTCTCCCTCCACCAGCAGCAGCCACTTTTCTCTGCGCTAACGCTCTGGTGGCTCCCATACTCAATCGTTGTCATAATCGCTCGCTAGGGAATTGCTACTTTTTTCTTCAAAACCTCGACATTAACCCACCTTTCTTCTATGCCGTTCATTCTCCCGCAGCGCTTTACTGTCGTATTGCCCGCTTCGTGAAGTCGACCTCCACCTCCCTCCTCTTCGTCGTCCTTCGCCCTCCCCCCACCAAGTGCTGGTTTGCGCCGATCCTGCAGTATATTATATCCTTGGTGACATACATACAACATTATCTGGTTATATTGGCGAGAACCTGTGGCCTTGAACCTCCTTCTGCAACTGCGGTCTTAGGGAATCGTGCTCGGTCGCGGCAGCTGGGGTTACCACAGGTTTCGCGATTGGCGCATTATTGAACGGTACGTTTGTTGCTGGCCTACAACCTCATCGATGGCTTGATCTATCCTCGATGCGATGTCATTCTGGTTGTTGGCATACTGTGGAAACCGAATATTACTGTTGCTCTGGCGCACTTCCCTGCGCTCAAAGCCGGGAACGAATGATTGCCCATGAGTCTGGGGTGTGTGATCAAATCTCCGCACCGCCTTCAGACACTCTGCCCTCAACATACTTTTTCCCATTCTCCTTCCTGTTGATTTTGGTCATTCATGTTGATGTAGTGTGAACGGTTTCCTTGGCATATCTATAATGCATTTTCCGAGTCTTTCTAACATTTTCTCTTCGATCCATTTAGCTCTTGGTCCGACTGCACCCTCTTGACCGCCGGCCTCCTCCCCACAAGCATACTGAAAATCAACTTCCGTGGACCTCTCCTTTTACCTGTCTCCTTTCAACTTCTGAAGCCACTGCAGTCTGTGCACCACCCTCCATAACTAATGGAGGTGGCCGAAAGCAGAGAATCCGCCTCGGTCGGTCCGCCCGCCGGGGCAGAGTCCACCATCACCAATGGCGAACACCACCTTCTCCTTGCCGACGCGCTTATAGATGATGATGATGACGGTCGATCTAGTAGTCTAAGTGAAATTGACGATGTCTCCGAGAATATGGCGTTCGATCTTGAGTCGCCTAAGCCTGAGAAGGCCATGACGGAGAACGATTCAGAGGCGGAAACCGAGCGCATTGAAGATTCTCCGAATAATATTCGTTTGAGAAGAGACATTGTTGTGAGCGCAACTAATCATGGTCCAAGTCCCAGCAAGCTAGCTCAGTCAACGACATACGATGAAGTTGAAGACGAGGAGCATGTGCCAGACGATTCGCCCAGCAAGCCCCGCTCAAAAAATAATCAGATACCTGACCTTGGTGAAGAGACGCCAGGGCTTGACGACTCAGCACTTTCAGAAGGCATCGGAAAGAAACGTAAACGGCACGGCTCTGCTGATGAGCTGGGCACCGAACTTGACGAAGAGGACGAGCCTCCTCAGAAACGCCGCGGCTCTCTCAAAAGCGAATTGAGTGATCCTCCCGCGGAGGATATTGTGCTGACACCTGAGCCCATTGAGGAGGACCCCATCGAGGAATCTTCCAAACCCAACGAAGAAGATACCCCAATCGATGATATTCCCGAGTCCGACTTGCCAGCGGCTCCTGCGAAGGGAAGAAAGAGTAGGAAAGGCAAGCGAAAGGGGCGGAAAGCGAGAGATGTCGATGAGGATGCAGACATGGCTCTCGAAGCCGGCGCGGAAGGCGGTGGGGATGATACACTTGGGGATGAGGAGGCTGCTGAACGCGAAGAAGCAGATGATGGTGAGGCAGCCGCCAAACTTGAAGAAGAATGTAAGTTACTATGTCCTCCACAACTATGTCACTTTCTACTTCGTGCTAATGTTCGAGTGTAGCAGCAAAACGGGTATCTGCGATGGAATCGCTGGCAGTTTTAGAGCGGGAGTTCGCCGCCCTGCGAGACAAGTAAGGATCCCTGCGTCTCTTGGTCAGACATGCATTGGTTACTGACTAAGCCAATAGGATCTATGATGAACGAGTCTCTAAGCTTAATCGCGAACTCGAAATGCTCAATGGGCCGAACCCCACACATCCCGAATTTCTGCGGCAGTTGGAGTGTATACAGCGGTATCGGGACGCCAAGATCAAATACGAGCATACACTGTATCAGTATAGAATCAAGGCCCTGTTGAACAAGAGCCTGGCCGAGCGTGCACAAGCGCATAGTACGTACTTCCAGCGGGTCCGGGACGTTCGTGAAAAGCACTCGAGTGCCATCAGCAAGCAGTTCTATGCCATTCAACATGATCGCTTCAAGACGGATGAAGTTAGTCCGCAACATTATATTCCGTTTCCCACACGCCGTTCGCAACAGATTGCCAACCAGACTGCCTACAATCAAGAAGTATCCATTCTGGCTGGTGTTGCAAAGTATGTCGGTTTCCCAGCCGCACCTTCATTGTCTGCTGCACGGCCGGCTGAGCTTGAAGAGGACATGGAAAAGATGGGCGTAAGTTTGTTCTGGGGACTCTTCAATCATTATGCTCTAATGCTGACCTAATTTGCGGGCAGATCTCCATTGAAACGAGAGTCCCTGTCTCCCACCACCATCACTCAACGTTACCGCGAGGCGCCATGTCGTCTATGTCGTCGAACGTCTTCCGCGCCGCGGCAGAGGAAGCGTTCTTAGAACAGACCCCTTGGGCCAACCCACAGCATCCAATCCATCATCAACAGCAGATTCCGCCAAGGCCCCAGAGTCGGGTATTTGAGAACCCGCGAGCCCCGGCTTACACTACACCAGCAGCCCAAAAACGAGTTGTGGACATTCATGCTCCCAACGGGTCGGCGTCCACCATTGCCGAAAATTCTTCGGCAAACAACACACCCTATGATCACGAGCAGCCCACCCAGGGTCTCGGGCCGTATGGGAATCCCGAATACGACGCAGACCGACGATCCGGGTTCCGATCATTAAGCTCCTCCCCGCTAGATGTACGGAAACCCCATCCGTCGTATAACACCCTCGACAACCGATCACCGCCGCACCGGAATGCCGGTTACTCACCGCCTCCTGCCCGATTAGGGCTTTTCCAGTCGAAACGTGACTCATCACCACCGCTGCCCTCCTCCAAACCAGCAAATTCCATACATCATCACGGGTCAGCTGGAGTCCTGGGCGGCTCCGGTTCGAACCAAATGACAGCCCGTTAGAACCCAAAACACCCAAAAGACCTCACCACGATAACCCCCATCCTCTCTACCCCACCTCATAACGTCTCACTTATTGTCTCCATAACGGTTTGGATAGTGTATAGGGTTCCACACGGTGTTGTAGAGTTGCGCTATTATTCTTTTTTCTTATAATGTATGTACGGGTTAGCATGTATGACTGGAATCGAAACACGGACGAGATCAACTTACAGTACCCCTTTCGCTTATTTATCTTTTTGCTTTGGTCTTGGCGCATTGTGAATATGGGATTAAATGGTTGCATTGCTTCGGCTTGCCTATGTGTTATGTTACCTTTGTATTTGCACAATACCTACCTATCTAACTAACTATACATGCCTCTATGATACACATATTGGCCTTGAGCCTTGTTGATTCTACTTCATTTGAGTGCTTGTTCCTCGGATATGCATAAGGATATAAGGGTTAAAATATAATTGACTAGAATCATGACCATACACTCTCAACATGACTATGCAACACTACCACATAATCTAATAGAACCTGGCTAGATATCCATATAGCATCCAAGGTATGACACACGGTTAAATAAGCAATCTATCGGGATGAATGGTAGTCCTAAATGGCGAAAGAAAACACAGAACCAGACAACCTATACTAGATTGATATTCAGTACATGGATGGAACCATAGCAGGTGCATTGCATTTCCGCTGTAAGTATGCCCAATCATTTAGTAAAGCGATGACTAATTGCTATCTGTGTATGCGAAACAGAATTGGATCTCTGCCCAAACTAGACGTGACATCATCTATCAATCCTAATAAAAGTACGGTCAAGACTTCTCGCTCGCTTCGGTTTATTTTCAATTGTAATTTGACAGGCCTTTGGGTGTAGGGATGCCGGGGGACGAGGTATTGACGGTTTGGATTATGTTTGTGACTATGGTTTCTGGGCGGGTGTGTTGGCTGGGATTTGGTGCCTAAGCACCGTTTGCGACGGGAGTGTTGTTCTCTGATTCAACTGTACGGCTCACCAAGGTAGATTGTTGTTCGGGCTGTGCTTGCTGTACGGCTGTGCTCTGCGGACGCCATCTGGCTAGAACTTTACCAGCGGCGGGTCGTGATTCCTCGTCTAGGGTTAAAAAGTTAGCGGAGGTACACCCATGGGGAATGGTGTCATTAGCTTACATGTCTGGTAAACATCCTCTACGGCATTGAGACACATTTCTCGCGCCGGGGGCCGGAACATAATCAAATACCTAATCAATGTCAGTTCATATAGTTCTCAGAGTCTATTGATAGACGAAGTACGCACAGTAAGGATTGGATGCAGAGATTCACTCTCTCGGGGTCTTTTGCGAGACTGGCTACCCGTTTTGTGATGGGAATAGTTACTTCTGGAATCTCGCTGAGGAACCGGATAAAGATCTTGGTGTCCCGAGAATCCAAATATGGCAAAAATCCGTCCAGAAGCCGCAGTGACCACTGGTCGTAGTGTAATGGCACCGACGATTCCTCATCTTCCTCGGCTCGTTGGGACGCGGTAAATTTCATTTGAATTCGGTCATTGTACCATTCCTCGTTCAGCCACATGATTCCAACATTTACTCGGCCCCTGAAATCTTCGAGTATATATCGATACAATGTTTCGCGTATAGAATCAGATATTGTCGATCTCTTCGACGACGGGTCTTGATCGTTCTTCTTGTTGTCTACCTCTAATCCAGCAGGCGCCCGCGTCGCGAGTCGGGTGAGCAACGTTACCCAGGCGTCCCGATCAAAGGTGCTGCCAGCCAGCCTCGAGAAACCTAGGTGTTGCTGGCCCTTTCCTTTTCCTGTATTTGGTGCCACACCGCTCGATGCCAGCATGTCAAACACTCGCCCCACGGCGCTTCGGCCAATCTCTGCCGCCTCGTTTTCCGATAGCGGGGGAGGTTGCGGGAGCACAAACGGACCGAGTGACACTAGATCGGGCTGAAGATCGACCGGTTCAGCCGACAGCGCATCTTCCTGCTCTGCCGCCGGTTCGGCAACGTCCATAGGTTGGTATTCGGGCTCATAGTCATCGTCTTCTTCTTCACCTGTTGCCGGTGGAGGCTGCGCAGCTTGTTGCTTCTGGAGTGTCTGATACCGCATTCGTACACCCTATTTTGAGATTAGGACTGGTCCTCTCTCCGATATAAAATGTTTCCAACTTACATCAACGGCCTGCTGCAGGACAGACTGGTCTACCCGAGCTAAAACAGGAACCACAATCTTGACTAGAAGGTCAACCGGTAGCTGCTTCACATCAAAGGAGGAAAGCCCAGTGTCGTCGGTTAACGTATAGAGCTGCGAATAACTGACAGGGCCCGGAGGAAGCGGCGACACCTTGATCAGTGGAGGAGATTCGGCGTCCAGTTTTGCCCGCTTGGAATTGTCCAAACCATCCGTTGGCTCGATCGGCAGGCCACGCTTTTTCGAGCTATCGTCAACGGTTTCTATGCGCGACTGCATCAAGCGCTCTATATGCTGCTGCATTTTGCTTGCGAGGGGATGACTGGGGTTTCTAGACTGCCCATCAGCTTCTTACTCCCAACTTGGAACGACCCATCCTTCTCACCTCTTCATTATATTGATCATCAAGGCCCTAGCTGTACGCTCCATCGACTTGACGCCAACACGAACCGCAGGCGTCACCGGGGTGCGTGCTTGTCTTGCGGGAACAAAGCTTAGAATCGCATTGATAATCTTGTTACCGATGGACTGTCGGGTTCGAATCAGGATCGCTAGGCTGTTCAACGTCGCATTCACTAGGAGGGGGTCGCTAACGATGAAGGGTCCATTAGTGGGACGTGGCACAATTAACTCGGAGACGGTATCATTCGTACCTTGCATCTTCCTGAAAGACGGATAGCAATCTATCCAAGAGGCCCGACGCCTCGGCTTCTAGATATGGTAGGGAGAGGAGGGAATGATTTCTAGGAACAATGGCCAAGGACGTTTCATTTTGCTCCGGCCGCTGAGAGTCATCAGCAGTCTTTCCTTTTTGAACAGCAAGTAATTCTTTCTTTCCTGTACGTACTCTAGGGTCCGTTAGACCGTGGGTCTGGACTTGAACCACCCGCTGTACAAACTTGATACAGCATACTTTGACCGAAAATGGGGACGTATCCCATCTCCGGAGTATATCATCCTTAATAGCGGTCATATTCTCCCAAACTGTGGAGTCTTCAGGGTGGTTGATGCTGCAATTATCAAGAGTGTCAGTTCCCACAGGTCCCCAGTGACTGGCTTAATTTGGTTCCCTGCGCACTTCTACGAGACCTCTCCCCGGGGCGAAACAAAAGGGAGAGCGGTGGTCACCTACATATGCCTAAACACCAGGGGATATAAACTGGCCGCAGCTTCCACTATATGTTTCAAAGTCACAGTATCCTTTTCCGGCAACTCCAACGTCTCTCGTAGTGTCTGCAATGCAGTCGCAGCTAGCTGCTCCTTCTGAGCCGGAGCCAGCGCCGGGCTGGAGAAGGTCTCCGCTAAGAATTCTGCGCCCCATCGTCGTAATTCCAATCGCGATCGCGCACCAATTATAGGAAGAACACCATTCACAATCTGTGGGTAGAATGCGGAATCACCCAGAACGAGAGTTCGGGCAGCGTTGAGCTGGGCGATCTGGTCGACAAGATTACCAGTCGACTGAGCCATGACGGCTCTATTCAACCGGCCAGGAGGAAGATTAAAGAGAGGTCTCGGCGGTTAAGCGAATCTTCTACGATAAATAAAATCTATAGTACCACGAAAATGGACAGAAGGGTTCGGGTTGAATGACGCGACGAGCAGCCTGGCCACGATACCGCCGGGCCGGAAAACAGGATCACCGGTGGATATGGTGCGTCAATGCCGGAGTCGAAAGGTCGGTTCCGGGATGAGGAGCGACAGGAAAGAATAGTGCAGTAGATAACGATTGTTGAGAGGGGAGTTGGACAATTCGGGAGATTTCAAGATGACGCCGATGGACTCGATTGGGGAAGTAAAGTCACCTGCAGCGGGCCGGCAATTCGGCCGATCATTTGTTAATAAATTAATCCCATGGCCTTAAGACAACAACAACAACAACAAGGGAATTCAATATACTTCGGAGTACTCATATAAATTAAAAAAAAAAAAAAAAAATAGTACTCATATAAATTAAAAAAAAAAAAAAAAAATTGAGATAAATAAATAAATAAAAATAAAAAATTGCTTCAAGTTTCACCAGCCCATATATACATCAGTCTTTGTCTTTGTCTTTGTCTTTGAAAATAAAAGTAATGGAGCTGTGTGATACAGGTCATACTGTAAAGTTGCCAGGCCATTGACTCTTTCCCGAATTTATATACTATTCGTATATATTAAAGACCCCAGATTTCGCAAGCATTACCATTCTGCTGTCAAGTAAGCCACCAAGATGATGACGTGCAAGACAGACACTATCTACCACTAGTTTATCTCTGGCCTAAGGCTTGTAGTTAATATATGGTAGTCTCGCCTGTATACAATGAAAGTAGCTTGGATTGCCTGGGCTACGATTGATCACGAGGTATGTACCTCTATCATATATCAACAAACACATATCATAATTGAATCTATAGAATGGTAAGCTTTACGAAGCTGAAAGAAAAAGTATTCTCTAAGTCTGCTGGAGAGCCAAAGAGTCATTTACTCCATGGGACCTCACGTTTCGTTTCGCATAGCAATCACGGTGGTGAAAGAAGCTAGGACTTTACTCGTTCCCATACAAACAACGAGATCTTGCATATCCTTGAGTTTATCTTACCTATTATGTATCTGATCAGTAGCTGAATGATGTAAAATCGCTAGCCTGTATAAAACAAGTTTCCTTGTCTCTTCAAACTACGTGCTTGGTCATGCCTCTCATCTCAATTTCAATCGCGCTGACAAGAAGCGCAACATATCCATCCATTGGTATCTCGGGACATAACTCGATTCGTCTCAGATCTTACTCGACATAGATTGTTGAGCGGTGAATTCCTTTGACTGACTAGGTGTGGGGATTTTCTATAGTAATATGTTGTTGTCGACGAGGAAACTGTCCAGTCATGCACCCAAGCATAGTCCTAAATCCGGTAACCCACCTTAACTCCGGACCAAATCCGCCAAGACCTTTTGATCGAAAGACTCGCGATAATCTTCCGACGGTGTCGAATCAGTCCTCACTTGCTCGCTGTACAGCCCCTCACCACTTCCTCAATTCCCTGAAAATAATAGAAAAGTCGCTCTCGCCTTGACACTCACAGGAAGATCTCAAAAGATGGCCTCCGGAATGTACGTCTTTCCCGTCACGCACACAATACACACCCCTCTTTAATACCCGCAATACAAGTGAGCCCATACTAACCCTAGAATCCCAGTTTCAACTCCACCTACTACGGCAAAGACTACCGCGCCGGGGCTGCCCTCCTGCGCGCCCGTCGTCCCTACCTAGTCAAGAATGCCTTGACCGGACTCGGCCTCGTCGCGTTTACCATCGGCGTCTGTACGTTTGACTCTGATCTTATCTTCTCCCCGGAATCACAAATTAGGAATCTTACTAGATCCAAGGAATAACATACTAACAAACTGACTCTACAAAAGACGCCTACACCATCCGCGCAGTCGGCCAGGATGAATTCTCCGATGTGAAGGTCCCCGAGACACCCGCGAAGCCCCAGCAGAAGCAATGAGTGCGAATTGGCCGTTTTGTTGGACACGTTGATATGCAAACTCCGCTCACGATTTGGTTATGCTGGAATCTCGAATGGTCTGGGGTTGGAATTGTACACCGACGGTCGAGGACAATGGTTCGATTCGATCGCTGATCAGATAATGTATCGGGTACCGGAGTAACGTGGCGAATTGTGTTTCCTTTGCTTGGCATCACCTGCCTGTGGGCTTTGAATGGGGAGAGCTTTTTCAATGTGCGAAAAAGATGGGAAATGTAGGATTCCTATTGGGAGTTAACGAAGTGTGAAGTAATGGTGAACGGGACTTTCGCAGGACCCAGCCCGCGGCATCGCTGCGCAGTTGGGGTGGTGTGAAAAAGCAAGTCGGTTGGGTGCCCGCATGAAAAATACCTCTCAGCTCATTTTGTTGTTTTTCCTGTCCTTATTAGCATTTATATCTGTATATTATCAGTTTGAACTGTCAAGATACCACCACCCTCGTATTGATTGCAGACGCGATGCAGTACCGTCGGAGCCCAAGTTTTCAGGAGGCTGGGGTTAATTACAATGCACGACGCAAAGCTATTACAACGTGGTGGCTTATGTTTTAATCACATGCATTTTCTAATCGTCTACATTGCCGTTTTAAACGGTGTTCAAATACAAAAACATGGAATTGAGAAACATGCTAAACCGAGAGAAGGGATCCATCTGTCCCTTACGAGGCCACAAACCAAAGATAGGCGGAATCACAGATTCCACCTTTACTCGGTTCGCAGAACACGGGGTCCTTTCCTCTTGGTAGCGCGCTTCCGCTTGTGGCCCCGCTCAAAGGCTGTGGCGCTGTTATGGTCACGGCCCAGGTTGTCGAGGTCCTTGACCTTGTAAATACGGATGATCCAGTTCTCGCTGGTAAACGCTTCTTCGAGGGTGGAAAGCTGTGGCCCTTCCGCGGGCAGCCGGGAGCCTCGGACGCGGTCCATGGCCTGACCCTGCTGGAAGAGGGCGTTATAGTTGTAGTAGGACATTTTGTACCTGCAAGGTATTATTAGCACATGCTTTAAGAGGTGTCATTTGCAAGATTCGGGCGGCCTTACATTAAGCTGTTGCGCATCGTGGGGGTAGCCTCATCATCCACACGGTATTCGCCCCGGGCCGTGAAGTAGTCCCGCTCCTTGACCTCATCAGGCCAGATGCCTTCGGCAATTCTAACCATCCAGAGGAACTTATTGATGTCATCACCGGAGTAACCCAGCAATCCGCCGAACACTACCAGCACATAATCAACATCGTGCTGGCGGAGGATAGGATAGCTGACCTCCTCGCGAGAGCTCATCGCCTTTCCAACCGTGGCGATGTGGGTATTATTCCAGGTGTTGTTATCGACAAGAGTGGGGCGATCCGCCATACCACCAATTTGGTATCCATAATCCCACCAGGACATGATCTTGGCGTTATCGGGGGTGTTCTGGCGAAGCCAGTAGTAGGCTTCACGGTAGTCGTCGATGATGAATTGGCTGCCATCCGGCATCCGACTAGCCAGAACGACCGAAGGGGAAGAGTAGGCATTGGACGTGACCCAAGTGCAGTGCGCAACGAACAGGAGCAGATAAATGACGACAGAGGATGTCACAACGGCCTTGGAAAGATAAGAGGAAATTCCAACAACTGGGTTCCTTGTGGAACGAAGACCTTCTGCGGATGTCTCATCTTGGGCCTTGCTTTGGGGACTTGGCCCACGAGATGCAAATACATACGTATCAAGGATGGTCGACAACGCCAGCGCAGCCGCCACGCAGACAATCGGGGTCAGTGTCAGCATGAGACGAACCATGACACCGGCGAAGTAGCTTGCTAGGACGGCATAGATAATGACGAAGACGTGCTCATCTTTGAGATCGCGGAAACACATGTAGACTCCGGCGGGGAAGAGCCAAATGAGGAGGTTCAGGTCAAAGAAGAAAGCTGGCCAAGCAGTGGGCTGGTGCTCCGACACTGACGCAATGATGGGGATATGGATTTTGGCGTAGCCAGTATCCCACAGGGAGTAAAAGCGACCGCTCCACGGGGCAATTACTCCGGACACGGTCAAAAGAACAAGCCCGGCAAAGGCAACGCCGAATACGACGATGACCATGGCAGTGAGAAGTCTTTGGAACTGTTTACCAGGGATGAAGCCGCGGACAAAGTCAGCAAATGCCACGAGTTGAATCAGACCAAATACACCTAGGTAGTCGTTAGTATAACTCCCGTTAATCAATTGAGAACGCGCTTACCCAAGGCAGACATATGGTCACTGTTCCGAATGGGGAGGAAGCCGACGAATGGAATCTGCATGCTTGCCAAAGTCCCCAGCGCATACCAGGTGGTGTAGCTGATGTACAGACGGGAGCTATATCTTCCCATACAGAGAAGCACAAAAACATGCAAGGGGATAAGATTGGTGATGAAGACATAACCACCCCAAGCCGACACCATGTAACCGTAGAAGAGAGCGGTCAGTGCTCCCCACATGATCGAACCATTTTTAACAGCCTTGATCCACAAGAAAAAGGTGAATACAAGAAGAAAGATTGCAATGGCTTCGTTATCATAGCTACCCGCAACCGATCGAGATATGTATCCCGGGGTAATGCCCATGAAAGCGGCAGCAAGGAGACCAGCGGAAGGTGAGATGGACATCTCACAGGTCAACAGATACATTGCAAAGGCCGTGAGACCAGAAAATGCCGGTGCGAGCAAGACACAAATATTGCGAATGTCGACGGGAATGGTCAGGAAACGGAGGATGTGGTAAATCACGCCGCTGGTCACCATGAGACCTGGGTATAACGTGCCACCAGTGACACGTCCCAGAGGGTGCCATGTTCCTGTACAGAATTAGTCAATTAGTACCATAAGCAGATGGCTGACCGCTTTGCTTCTCAGTATAGTTGGTATCGCCTGCCGAATAATCACTTACGATCATCGAACCAGTCCCAGAAGCTTTCGAAGCCATGTTGTACCAAGTATTTTGTTGCGCGAAAATTAAACCAAGGATCGACTATACGGTATGAAGTCAGCGGATGCCGGCGCTCTTAACGAAGAGAGACAACAGTATTGTATATTGGTCGAAGTCCGGGGTTGTGGGCAACTTGTCGGAGTATAGGTTGGTTGTTGTTGAACGTACATTCATGGATAATGCTTTCAAAACCTAGCGCATTTCAAGTCAGTGCCAATTGACTCAATGAGTAGTTACGAGTAGGTTATCTGTCGGATGACATACGAATCACACTGAACAGTCGACTCGACACTGCAGCAGCGGCGATTGTAACTAGAATGATAATGCGCAGCAGGCCGCGCGTATTCCTGCCGGTGTTGCCTTTCAACAAGGCATCAACAGGTGTTTCGGCCATAACGGCCAGAGAAGAACGTAAAAGGAAAAATCAATGGGGAAAGCAAAAAGAGAGTTGGCCCTCGTCCTGCCCTGGAGCTGAAGAGAGGAGTAGTTGGATGTTTCGTTGATCGAATGGGGACAGCTTCGCAAGGTGGTCACTTCCGAGGCTTGGCACCAGGCACGTTTATACTTTACATACATACAATACCGTCACATTGAACTCTCCGCGCCCCCACACCGCACCGCCTTTGATATCAATCAACCGTCACTATCGATACTACTGAGATTAGCTTCAGCGTGCTGTTTTGGGTCTTTGCCTACGTCTTTCTCTCGTCTCACGGTCTCTGCGATTAATATACTTCCATTTATACATCATCTAATTAAGATGGATTTACCTCCACTATCCAAGGAACAACTTTCCGCTGTGCTCAAATCTAGTCGTTCACCAACAGAGCTCTACAATACTTTGGTGGAGTACGAGGGCGAGGCTTGTTTAATGTCAACAACTGATAGCAATATGTCGGAGCTCCTCAGTCTATTCTACTCGACCTTTTTCTTTGCGCACCTTCTGACAGATCAAATGTGAGTTTTACCCACGCCCAAAGCCTGCAGAGAAGACGCCTGGTCAGGCAACTAATGGTCAAATTCTGGCGTTGTACAGATATGAAGCTCGCGCGATGACTCAACGAATGCCACAAGAGCTGTCTCAAAATGATCCATCGCTCCAGAATTGTCTGACTCTCCTACGGGCTGTTTGGCAGAGGAAATATGAATCAATCTACAAAATCCTAAGAGAGCTACCCTGGCCAGAGCTCCTGCGTCCGGCGGTAGAAAGCTATGAGAGTAAGAGAAACATGTCGACTCTGTTTCTGTCGCTGTGACTTTCTCTGACTATTTTCCTAGCATATTTTCAAGAGAAAACATTGAAAGAAGTCAGCCATGCCTACGAAGCGATACGGCCTGCGACGGCTGCAAATTATCTCGGCCTCGATACTGGTGCAGCAGAGCAGGGCAACCCCGCAGTGATACAGAAATTCACTGCAGTTGGGTGGGTATGGGATGAAAGCACAAGACTATTACACCCTAAGCCAATCCCCACAGCACCAGAAAAGGACACTCGGTTATACGATGAAGTGAGTCAGATTATGGCGTTGATTGGGAAACATGGGGGTTAAAGGTGGATAATTCGGACATGACATCGCTTTAGAAAACCGGAAGATCCGACTGGTTGAATGAAGAGGAGCTGAGATGGCTACGCAACAATAGACCTCCAAGTCCGTTTAATGACGGAAACGTCTGATGAGCAATGATAAGAATATCACCGCACCCAAGGGCGCACACAGTACAAGGGATCAGCAATGATACCAAAGCGAACAACAGAATCTCTTGCTCTTCTGGTCCAACTGTAGTGTACAAACGCACGACAGCCCAGGGTATGTACAATGACTCGGAGAGGATCTCTAGTAATGTAAAAGAAAAATCATTCCTTTCGCTCGCAATGACACGACTCTGGGAAATTAGACCAAACAATAATACATAATCGGGGGTTACCCTAACAACCTTTCTTGTAACCTAAGGGGGCACGACCGTTGTACCAGAACAGCTGTCACTCGTCCTCTCGCTTTGTACCTTCCAATTCCTCTAGTTCTCCCCAGCCTTCATCTTTAGGTAGGCCTCAAGGTCGAACCGGCTGTCCTCGGGGTCCGTGATGACTGCAGGCAACCGTTAGCGTCGGATCAAGTATAGTATTGCCTTCGTGGAATAAATCGAAGGCGTCGCATCTCATTCAGGGCTCACGAAGCTGGCAACATACTTCCGCTGTTCTGTGTGTCCTTGGGTGCCGTCTTCTTCTTCCATTCGGCCTTGGCCTGCTGGATCAGGCGCTCCTGACGGGCGTATTCACGGTCGGCTTCGGCACGCTTCGCGCTGGCAGTGATCGAGGATTGGTGGTAGGCACCGTAGAAGAGACCGGCTACGAGAGCCGAGTAGCGAAGGACCTGTAATGCGGGTATGATGCTGTCAGTTGCCTAGGGTCCATTATCAGAACGGGGCCCTTGCGGACACTCACGTTGACACCTTGTGCGGTAGCCATCTTTAAGATCCTGGCCTCCGGAGCGGAATTCAAAAAAGGGCAAATAAACGCAGGGTAACAAGGCCGGATTCCGAGCGACCGTTTGGAGGGTATCAATTGGCAATGGCTGGCAATCGGACAGGATACTCAGAAGCTTGTTCAAGGCGAAGTTCCTGTCGCGAGTTTTTCCGGACCGTCGGGGGCCTGTGCTTATGTCATCCGCCGACCCGGACTCTGGGCGCGGGACGGGGAAGTCCAACTAACGCGCATAACATAACTTGAGACGGGAGTAAATAATCATAAACTTATAGTACCGAACGGATTTGGTTTTGATGGTACGTCAGCCCATCGGCTGTCTCAATTCACCATGTCATCAGCTATGCAACAGCGAAAGGCAGAGATTCTCGCCAAAAGAGCGAAACTCGCCGAACTAAAACGACAAAGAGAGTTGCGCCAGCAGGAGTTCTCGCAAAGTCGGGCCAACAGCGGTGATGCTTCCGAGGTAGGGGACATTCTCCAACACCACCAATATTCTAAAGGAGAGCCATGTCTTTTTTAACTCCCCCACCCACTATAGGTTGTGTCCCCAGTTCCTAGCCGTGCCGATAGCAGAGCGGAGCTCGATGACCTGATCTCACGTCTGGTGGACCGTCCCGGGTCGGCATCCATCAGCCACGCAGATGGCCCCTCACGCAAAGGGAGCAGACCGAATTCAGTGATTAGCGCTAGCCAAGTGAGCGGAGACCATGCCGAAGCATTTATCCCTGCTGCGCGACCAGTTTCGCACTCGATCGCCGTCCAAACCGTCGGTGCAGAGCCATATCCTACAGGACCACCCCCTGAACCAAAACCAGAAATTGTTACATACAGCAAAGGAGTCCAGACGGATGACTCAAAACAACCACAAGATAATTCATCGGCTGAATCCGAAGACGAAGACGGGCAGGATCCTACGGGCACAGGTAAACGCCTAAGCAAGAAGGAGCGCGAGCGCGACGAAGAGATCCGGAAGAAGCTTCGCGCAGAAATCGAGGAGGAATTACTAGCTACCCAGCAGAAGGCAGAAAATGACGCCGAGGATGAATCTTCAAAACTACGGTATCCATTGCGCACATTGGATGATGATGAACTGAAGGCAGTGACCTCTTCCGAGAATTTCTTGGACTTCGTCGAACGTTCCGCAAAGGTTATTGAGCGTGCCCTTGATGAGGAATATGACGTACTAGCGGACTATGAGCTTGGTGGACTTGATGGCGATGTGGAGGAAGATGACGAACATGGGAAGAAAAGGAGAGGCATCAGAGAGGTTTGCCAATTTTGGGACGAACGATGGAGCAAGAAGCGCATGATCAGTGACGTGAGCTTTTCTCCAAAGGTTTGTCATCATCGAAATTTATTTTCCCTTGTTATGCACCGCTGACTATCCGCCTATAGTTCCCGGAGCTTGTTTTGGCTGCATACACCAAAAACCCATCTGCACCTCATGAACCGGACGGTCTGGTTCAAATTTGGAACCAACACCTGCAATCCCGCCCCGAGTATGTGTTCCATTCTACATCTGATATCTTGGCGGCCAAATTCTCTCCATTTCACCCTAATCTCATCGTTGGTGGTTCGTATTCCGGGCAGGTTCTGCTTTGGGACACCCGGTCATCGCGCGCGGGTGGTGGTGCACCGGTGCAGAAGACGCCTCTGACTGGTTCTGGGCACACCCATCCAGTTTATAGCATTTCAATCATCGGCACACAAAATGCTCATAACATACTTACTGCGTCTACGGATGGCGTGGTTTGTGGCTGGACTGTTGATATGCTGTCTCAACCTCAAGAATATCTCGAACTTTCTACTCCCCCGCCTTCCAAAACCGAAGATCTCGCCCCCACGACTATGTCATTCCCACAATCCGATCCGACATTCTTCATCGTCGGTACAGAAGAAGGCGGGATCTACCCCTGCCATCGCTATGACCGAGCCGGTGCTAAAGCCGGAACTGACCACCGTCTTGCGTACCGCGGCCATGCAGCACCTATCATGTCCACTGCCTTTCATCCGGCTCGGGGCCCCGTTGATCTGGGAGACCTGATGCTGAGTTCTAGTTTGGATTGGAGCGTGAAGCTATGGCGTGTTCGGCCACCAGCCACCACTGCACCGGCCACCTCGGCCATCGCCGCGACACAGGTTGTATCTCCAATTCTGGACATCAACCGCGAAGACGTTGTCTATGATGCCCGGTGGTCTCCCCACCGCCCTGGAGTTTTCTCCCTCGTCGATGGTGCTGGAAACCTCGAAGTTTGGGACCTCTACACGGATACGGAAGTACCAGTTGTGCGGACCACGCCGTCCAAGGGCCGCGGTGGCATCTTGACGAGTAGTCTCAACAAGGTGGCCTGGGAGGAGCGTGAAGGAAGGCGGATTGCCACGGGTGGATTAGATGGGGTTGTCACCGTCTTTGAGGTAGGAAAGGGTCTTAGTGGCACTCCTGAAGATGTGCCTGCCGAGGAATGGGCCGGAGTGAAGCGACTGGTGGGGAAACTAGAGCAAAAGGACCGGATCAACTGAGGTAATAATTAGGTTTGCGATTGGCATAGATCGCTTCGCTTTTCAGCTCCAGTGGACGGTCAATGCGGCTTGACTCAAGCCTTTGTGCGGGGAGTGTTGATCCCCCGTCGCCTGAACGCCGCAAGATCATCATCCGCTAGCTATCGTCCAGTTGCTACAACAGAGTAGCCGTCTCCCTTTCCCTTACTCATTTTGTACCGAATTTCCTTGCATGGCGTCTTTTATTTGGTTTTTATCATATACCCCTCGGGCAGCTGTTGATGTATGTATGCATTTGTTGGACCAGGAAGGCGGGTTCTCTGAATTTATACTCGACCTGACTTAGAAGGGCATTAAAATGTAAATAATCTACTTTCGAGATATGCATGGCGGGGTGATTCTGTGTCTTGCAAGACAAATTAGCGGTATCCATGCCATACGTGTCGCCATATTACTGTATGTCTCAGGCCGACATGAGCTGCCATGTTGGACGAGATCAGAAATGGCTCATGGCCCGCAGGGATTTCTAAGCACTATGTACGGGTCCCGGTATGGTCCGAATGGACATAGATCTGCCTATCTAGGTAGGTTAAGTTACGTGATGGCGGGGGTAACACTTGGGCACCTCGTAGATAGAGGTACCGGACCACAACTGCCAGACCGGTTAAGGAGTTGGTCACAGGTGAAATGGAAACTATTTTAGTGAAGTCACTAATAAAGTAAAGTATAATTCCAAAGGTTGTATGATCCCCTCGTGTCATATCTGGAATCCGCGCACATGACGGAGAGGCCCCAGCCCCACGATGGTATCAGGGCCATTGAACCAGAAGTTCCATTTCGGGCCATTTAGAGAGGGCAAGTGTGTATGGCATGCATCCATGACTATATTGGAGGGAATATACTTTGAAATGACTGATCACTCACCGCTAATCTTCTGGTACTTTATGGCATATGCGGTTTCAGTGCCTAGTCCTGATGGCTAAGCTCCACAAGTATTTGGAGAAAGTCAACACCTGAGGAGGTCAAATGATAAGGTTTTCGTCGATGGCCAGTAATTTTCCTAGCGACAGGAAACTGAATGTAACCAGCCGAGTAGACAGGAACCAGGGGTACAGCACAAGAGCACCGTTCTTAATTCATCACAAATCTATCCATCTGCAAAAATGGCGCACGGATGCAGATCTGTCGGGGGCATATCCAGGACCCCAATAGGGCGCGCGAGGTAATCCGACCGTCCCCAAGCGAGGTCATTCATTCCGATCACAGACTCAAAAGTTGGAAAGTTTTATTGTTTTCAGGGGATCGACACGGGAACCTGATGCCTTGCATGGCACATGCCTGAGAGAAATCAATAATTGGAACGTTGGAGGATTAGGGCTTGCAAGGTCTCTTGACTAGACCGAATGAGAGGGGAAGAGTTAAGCCCCTTGCGGTATGGAGCAGCCGTGATGCCGAGTCTTTCCCCAGCCAATCCACCGCCCTCATCCAACCATGAGACCGCATGCCGAGCACCAATGGAGCCTTTCGGCTTAAGGCTTGCCCCACCTGCAAAAGGGTCCTTATCGATTGTTGACCCCACGGCAAGTCTGGTCGAACTAACGAAACAAACTACTGCGAAGTAGACCGCCGACTATTGTGATACAAACTCACATTCAACCCTCGTTCTCTTCTGCAAGGAAGCTAACTGATAGCACCACTGCATTCCATCATGCAATGGCAACCACCTTCGGCCCCACGTGGCCCATCAAAGCCCGAATTGCAGCCGATCCTCAGGCCTGATCGGGTCACACAGGAGGATGGACTTGCTCATATAAAGGCGACGACCTGGTCACCAGAAAGACCACGTCGTCCCTGGGTGCGCACGACTCTCATCACGGTGCTGCTGTCCATCATGAGCATCATTTCGTTGCTCGCGTTCTTCTCTCTGGGTCTGGGTATCAACGGCCTTCCCCATGCCCGTTTGTCAAGCCCTTCATACGGCAAGCCGGTAAATCCTATTAAAGACACTCCTATTAAGAACGTGGTATGTTTCGATTTCTATCGATTGCTAAATGGTTACCCTTCCCGACCTTCTGTACTAAGTAACACTATAGGTGGTACTGGTCGAGGAGAACCTGAGTTTTGACGTGTTTGCCGGCGGCTTGACATACAACTCTAACATCGATGGGCTGGTCAACCGCGAGTACTGCAACCCGTCAAATGCTTCAGATCCATTCTCAGAGAAGGTTTGCGCCAAACCGATCGCGAAGAATGTGGCTCCCGATGATCCGGACCACAGCATTACTGGTGGTAACCAGCAGGTGTATAGCACCTACCACCCCAGCGCGAAGAATGACATGCCTGGCATGCAGGGCTTCGTAACAGAGCAGATTGTCTCTTACGGACTCGGCTCTGATTTGAGTCGCGCTGCAGAGGTCATTAACTACTACACGCCGGAACACGTGCCGGTTTTCAATGCTATGGCCGAGAACTTTGTGCTCTTTGACCGCTGGTTCGCATCGGTTCCTGGACCGACCAACCCCAACCGTGCGTACCTCACCTCTGGCACCTCGCACGGTCACGGTCAAAATGACCACGACTTCGACGTCTCCAACTTGCCTCAGGTGTCTATCTTCGAACAGCTCTCGGCCGCCGGCATTAGTTGGATCAACTACTCCAACACCACTGGTTTCCTTCCGGATTCTCTGTTCTACCAGTGGACCGCCAATAGCGGCAAGGGCACCACCAACGTGAAGCCTATTGACCAGTTCTTCAATGATGCTAAAGCCGGTACGTTACCTCGGTTTACCTGGATCAACCCAGAATGCTGCTCGTATATGTCTTTCCACCCGCCCTCTCCAATCAACATGGGCGAGGGCTTCATTAAGAGCATCTACGAGGCGTTGCGCTCTTCCCCGCAGTGGAATGAGACGCTGTTCATCCTGACATTTGACGAGCACGGTGGTTTTGCCGACCATGTGTCTCCTCCTGAGAACGTGCCGGCTGGCGATAACCTGACGTACACCGAAACGGCCAAGGACGGCCAAGAGGCTACCTTCCATTTCGATCGTTTGGGTATCCGAGTGCCTACCGTTCTGATGTCTCCATGGGTGGGCAAAGGCGTGGTTCAGAATAGCCCGACTGACCAGCCTAACGAATTCACCCACACCTCTATCCTCAAGTATGTGGCTGAGCTCTGGAACCTGGACATCCTCACTCCTCGCGTCGACTGGTCTCCCAGCTTCCGAGGTCTGATCACCAATAATTTCCGTGAGACGCCGGAGAAGCTACCTGAGCCGGCTGATTTTTAAGGATGAATTTGTACAGTCTAGACCCGATGTCTAGAAAAACATATGACCATGATGACGATATAATTATGACAATAACCGTTTCAATTAAATGAGCCCAGGCAACAACGAAGAATTTGCCTTTATGAAAATTCTCTATTCCCTTCTAAGGAATAATTACATCAGTAGGTCTTGTAAGGTTGGCTCAGCCTCCACTACTTTGAGGTCCAGTCAAGGCGAGCCGGGTATATACTCTTCCGCAATTTAGAATATAATGTTTGGTACTTATTAATTGTCCTTAACATCCGTTACTTAAATGTAGAACGGCTTTCGTTGCCAGTCCATAATCGGTTGCCCTGGTCTGTGGAGTATTTGGCAGCCGCTCAGCGTTTTCCGCCTTGAGATAGGTCTTCTTGTTGTAGGTATAAGATGCTACGAGGTGAGGTCGTTGGTATCTGATGCTCGGAGATAAAAAAAAATAAAAAATAAATAACGCAACACGTTAGGTAAGGTCTTAATCCAATTTGCCCCTGATCAACAATTGGTACTGGTGGTGATTGGAGACCAAATTTCTTCAGCATCTTATCTTTTGATCGTTAACTCCGAGGGCTCGGGAATAGTTACCCGTTCCCTCTTAGCGGATTTAGTAAAACCAAAAAACGCGCCAAAAATACTGAAGACCGCGTCAGACAAGACGAATGCCAAGGGAGAACCAAATCTCAGTAATTTTATCTCCATTGAATGTTGCTGACATGGCAACTCGATCGTGGATAGCTTCGCATGCTCAGGGATAAGGGCTGCACGGAGAGATCAGATAAGACCGGAGTTCAGCCGACTCGGAACATCAGATAACAGGAAATTCACGACAACAGACTATGAACTCCACCAGTCGAGCCTCAAGGCCTTTTGTCTTGGCATCTTGCCACGCAACCCGGTGACGACAGCCTGAATAGATTTAAGGATGGCAAAGCGTTGATCTGCCGCTTGGCCCACAAGCTTGATACGAATCCCGAACCTTATGATGCTGAAGGCAGTGGCCTCGGTCAGCCCTAGCCTTGCGTTAAATAGGACGATACTTTCCCCTATGGATACTCTCTAACATACGACCTCATCATTCGTTTATTCCTTTCGTATCCTTTGAACACTCGTTGACCTCTGCCGTTCTTTTGGTTCGAAAGATGCGCCAACACTCGCGCATGGCCGTTGCTGCTTTGGCAGCAGGAGCGAACGCAGCTTCTTTCACCGATGTGTGCACCGTGTCCAATGTGAAGGCTGCTTTGCCTGCCAACGGAACCTTGCTCGGAATCAGCATGCTTCCGTCCGCCGTCACGGCCAGCCCTCTCTACAACCAGTCGGCCGGCATGGGCAGCACCACGACCTATGACTACTGCAACGTGACTGTCGCCTACACGCATACTGGCAAGGGCGATAAGGTGGTCATCAAGTATGCATTCCCCAAGCCTTCCGACTACGAGAACCGTTTCTACGTTGCTGGCGGTGGAGGCTTCTCCCTCTCCAGTGACGCGACCGGAGGTCTCGCCTATGGCGCTGTTGGAGGTGCCACCGATGCTGGGTACGACGCCTTCGATAACAGCTACGACGAGGTTGTCCTCTACGGAAACGGAACTATCAACTGGGACGCCACGTACATGTTCGCATATCAGGCGCTAGGAGAGATGACCCAAATTGGAAAGTACATCACCAAGGGCTTCTATGGCCAGTCCAAGCTCTACACCTACTACGAGGGTTGCTCCGATGGTGGACGTGAGGGTATGAGCCAAGTCCAGCGCTGGGGTGAGGAGTACGACGGCGTGATTACTGGTGCCCCGGCCTTCCGTTTCGCTCAGCAACAGGTGCACCATGTGTTCTCGTCCGAAGTGGAACAGACCCTGGACTACTACCCGCCTCCATGTGAGTTGAAGAAGATCGTGAACGCCACCATTGCTGCTTGCGACCCGCTTGATGGAAGAACCGACGGTGTCGTGTCCCGGACAGATCTTTGCAAGCTCCACTTCAATTTGACCTCCATCATCGGCGAGCCTTACCACTGTGATGCGGAGACGAGCACTTCTCTTGGTTTCGGCTTTAGCAATGGCAAGCGCAGCAATGTCAAGCGTCAGGCCGAGGGCAGCACTACCAGCTACCAACCCGCCCAGAATGGCACGGTTACTGCACGCGGTGTAGCTGTCGCCCAGGCCATCTACGATGGTCTCCACAACAGCAAGGGCGAGCGCGCGTACCTCTCCTGGCAGATTGCCTCCGAGCTGAGCGATGCTGAGACAGAGTACAACTCTGACACTGGCAAGTGGGAGCTCAGCATCCCGTCGACCGGTGGTGAGTACGTCACCAAGTTCATTCAGCTCCTGGATCTCGACAACCTTTCGGACCTGAACAACGTCACCTACGACACCCTGGTGGACTGGATGAACACTGGTATGGTGCGCTACATGGACAGCCTTCAAACCACCCTCCCCGATCTGACTCCCTTCCAATCGTCTGGCGGAAAGCTGCTGCACTACCACGGTGAATCTGACCCAAGTATCCCTGCTGCCTCCTCGGTCCACTACTGGCAGGCGGTTCGGTCCATCATGTACGGCGACAAGACGGAAGAGGAGGCTCTGAAGGCCCTTGAGGACTGGTACCAGTTCTACCTGGTCCCCGGTGCCGCCCACTGCGGAACCAACTCTCTCCAGCCTGGACCTTACCCCGAGAACAACATGGAGATCATGATCGACTGGGTTGAGAATGGCAACAAGCCATCCCGTCTCAATGCCACCGTTTCTTCGGGTACCTACGCCGGCGAGACCCAAATGCTTTGCCAGTGGCCCAAGCGTCCTCTCTGGCGCGGCAACTCCACCTTCGACTGTGTCAACGACGAGAAGTCGATTGACAGCTGGACCTACGAGTTCCCAGCCTTCAAGGTCCCTGTATACTAGTGTGCTTGTATTATTCCTACTTGCCACCATCTCATATACTGACTGACGATATTTGAGAATTCCATAGCTTCTGAATGAAGCTAATCTTCCCGACTTTCTTATTCTTCATTTCATGTTTCCTGAGCACCTGGCTCTTTTGTCTATACAATTTGAATATCAAACCCCGGTTGAGTGTACATACGCAAACCGAGGTCAACCGAAACAATTTTAAATTTCTTATTTCCACGCGATATTCCACCGAGCTTGTACATAGATAATCGCATAAGACCAATATCACAGGGAACACCATTTTCACCATAAGTACACGCAAAAGCCCATCAAAGGGCAATAAACTCTCAGTTTTAAAATAATAATTACCCATATGTAGACATTTACATACGAAACAACCTCTCAAACCTGCATCAAAACCCCAAAAAACCCCACTTCATCCCTTTAGCAGACCTGGACCGTCTCGAAATGGCTGAGTTCCTCGTATTAACACGATCGATATCATACGGACTAGCCTCATAACCCGCAGTCCCGTCACTCACAGTGGACAGTGAGCTCCTACCCCCGGACGCCAACCTCTCCAAATCCTCTCCACCATTAGCACTTCCCCTCCCCTCAGCCTGAGCCCTAACCTCCTCATCGATGACCTTCTCCTCCTCCGGAGGGGCCGTCTTCTCCGCCAACCTCCTCATAAAATCATCCGCTTCGGCGGCATATTTACACTTCTTCCGTATAACAGCGCCATATTTATAGAAAACAAACGGAAAAGGCAGACAAGCAAGGGCCAGAAAAGCAGGAATACAGGAAGCCCAGTGAACCCCTAGATTACGATACATGTAGGTGGTGAAGAGGGGGAAGCCGGCACCAAAGCAGGACCTGATAATGGAGTTTGCGGCCAGCACGCTGGCAGCGTAGATAGTATATGCATCGATAAGGTAGGACATGATATTGAGGAAGACGAGAACCATGCCGAAACCGAAGGGGGCGGCGGCAATAATACTCACGATCCAGTGGACGGGGGGCGCGTTGGTCCAGGCGAACCAGAAGAGGCCGATGGGGATGGCGACGCTGCCGAGCATGGTTGGCGGGAGACGGGCTTCGGGGGGAGCGAAGCCGTGGTGAGCTTTGTGGATCGCGACGTAGCGTTTGTTGTCGAGCATGTTTAGGGCGACAGCGAGCATCATGCCGATCATGACGCCGAGGAAGGGGAGGGAGCCGACGCCTTCGGACCAGCCGCGGAGCTGTTGGAAGACGATTGGGAAGGCGTCGAAGAGCATGTAGAGCGTGCCGTAGACGATGGCCATGTAGGTTGAGAGGAAGAGAACGATGGGCTCAGCGAAGAGGAGGATCCAGGGGCGAAGGAGGGCGGTGCCGAAAGCGCTTGTCATGGTTACTTTGCCGCGTTCGAGATCAAGCTTGCTCCGGTGGGTTTTGCCGGTGAGGGCTGTGAGGCGGGCGGCACGTTTGCGGAGGAGTAGTGGTGCGTAGGTTTCGGGCACAAGGAGCGATTCCACGATCCAGATTAGGCCGGTGAAGGTTGCGAGGAAGCCTTGTACCCAGCGCCAGCCGGCGTTTTCGCCGAGGAAGCCGCCGATTACAGGGCCTAGGGTTGGACCTTTTTGTTTATTTTTGTTAGTTTAGGTTGAAGATGGTGTGTGGTGGTGTACGTACCTAGGAATGGTGCGCCGGCGAATAAACTTGTTGCTAGGCCTCGTTCTTCTGCTGGGAAGATATCGGCGATGACGCCTCCAGCGTTCGTTAATGGTGAGGATCCGAATGAGCCAGCAAAGAAGCGCAGGGTGATCAACGTCCAGCTATTTTGTGCACCGGCAGCGCCGGCACAGAAGAATGCAAGAGCCCCGTATGAGATAAAGAAAACGATCTGGCGACCGATCAGTTCACTCAGAGGCGCCCATACTAATGGGCCAACTGCAAAGCCTAGGACGAATAGTGACACACCGAGCGTTGCCACTTCTTCGCCGATGCCGAAGTGTTTGATGGCTTCCTGGATGCCTCCTGCATAAGCGGAGGAGGAAAGCGAGACACCGAACGTGGCGAATGCAACGGTGATAGTGTAAGCCCATTTCAGGGATTTGTTAAGCAACATCGGGTTGCGGGGATCATTAGGGATCCATTCCACGATGTAGGGGTCATCATCTGTGCCGGAGCCCTTATATGGATAGTTGATTATTTCGGGCGTGACGACGCCTTGGTCAGTGAGTAGGCGCCAATACGGAATTCCCTGGGGCCGGGTAGCTTCATGAGTATAGTCTTCGAAAGCCATTCCAAGGGGCCTGCGTGGATATATCTATGCTATTGTGCATACTGTGCGGTGGAAAGAAGTAAGAGAAATGGACAAGGATCGAAAATGAAAGGATTATATACACAATACTGTTGCTGAGACCATGGAGGCCATGAGATCAAATTCTGTGAGATGATAACATGTACAGATCAGATAATAAAAGAAAATATGACGAATTGCAACACCATTGGCTTGAAGAGCTGTATACATCGGGTGGTCGCTCCACTTGGGTGATCCTGCAGCCCGCTTTGGTCCACCATCGATCGACTCGGCTTGTACTTCGGCAAGCCGAATTGCATGATCCCGTTCGAGTCGGGACCGAGGCTCGGCTACGGGATTGGCCGCAGTAACCGTGTTCCTAATACCTAGACAGCTGACTGTGGGTTCTCGAACGAATACCGGTTAAGATGTACATGACAGCTAGTTAAGTTAAGGTTAAATCAAGCTCGAATATTATTAATGATCCGTAGAGCCATAGGGAAGCTGAACCACTCAGATATCGCGTTCCATTTTGATCATTTTTCGTGCGCAAAGTGCATATATATATATTATCACCAACCAGGGACACGGCAAGTCATACTCAGAGTTATACATCTTTTAGAGATAGGCAAGAAATGTACTTGTCATGCGAGAGGTATACATTCCGCTCTCTTACGTCGGGGATAGAGTTTATGACGTGTGTGTAGGCCAGGGACATTAGGCCTAGGCAATATTTGTAGGCAAGACACAAACGATACGTGCAAAAACGTATGGAAAATAGAGGGAAAAGCAAAAAAGAAGATCCATGGTCCCGGAGAGGCTCGAACTCTCGACTTCTGAGTTATTAGCTCAGCACTCTAACCGACTGAGTTACGGGACCACTTGTTGAAAATTCGGGTCCATAATTGTTTTCTAGTTCCAAAATTGGTACGCCCAGATATAAAGTCGTTATTCCCGCCCTTCGGTGGTCTTGTCCAGCGCACCGGATATTTTTAATCACCCTTGGGGTCTTCCGTTGCGCAACTGTAGCAGCGACTTCCCATTCACCAGGGTCGTCGGAATAAAATATGGTTCTCAACAGCTGATTGCTGGGCTGTTTGACCTTCTGATTTCGTCTTTCTCTGACATTCATATCGAGCAGAACTATTGTTGCTGAAGAGGAAGTAAGAAAAGAGTAGGAGAGAGTGAAGTGATAGGATTTCTAAAGGAATGAAAGTAATACATCAAACTGCAGAGTGACAGAACTTCGCAGCCAAAGAATGACATAGCTGATTGCGTCTCTCTACTGTGTCATGCTGACAAAAATTCTCTACTCTAGAGATGATGGGTAGATTTATTATTCTCATACTTATATACATTTTTACTGCACCTATTTAGAATATCCTAACTTTAGAGGATTAAAACCTATATAAACATCGACTGATCCTCGTTCGGCGTACTTACATGGCCACCCTGTACCGGGCGAGAAGTACCACAATACAACGTTGAGAGCTCACCAAGGACCTGAAAGTCCGCGTTTAGAAAACTTCCAAATCCTGGTAACTTACAGTCTAAAAGTTAGTCAACTTGGATACTGCCACTAAGGGATCGTAAACCGAGGTCTTACCAAACGATTCTCAACGTTGACAATCCCGTCCCTAGGTTTCTTTTTTTCTGGGTCTACCGCCAGGAATGCGATGGCGGCTCGTTCACTTCGGGCTCCCAGGGGCAACAAGCGGTAATATCTTGGGCTTCGACATTGACTAAGCAATGTTATGGGCACTGGGGCCTCTTTCTTTCATCACTGTCGTGTACTAGAAATCCATTTCTTGCTATAAACCAGTTCCAATACTGAGCTGTCATTGGAGTAACTGAGGTTTTTGCCTCATAGTCTCTGCGTCCCAAGTAATCTTTACCAGCATCGACCACACAAGTATCAACATCTTATGTTTCTCACATACACAGACGCAAAATCCAAAGCCATGCCAACCAAACCTCTAATGTTTCCAGACCATCCCCAACCGCTGGAAGAAAGAAAACAGAGACCCCTTAGGCACATACCCAGCATAGGTCCTCTGCCAAACAGCAGCAAACGACCCTTCAATAGGTCCCAACTCCCCAAATCCCAAGATCTCAATAACCCACGGAGTCAAAATAGCCAAAACACCCAAAGCAAGAATAGTAACGAAGATAGGGTGTTCACGAGAGAACTCATAAGCCTCAGCTGTAGCCCGAGAAAGTGCCTTGGAAGCTGCTTCGGCCATCTGCGCGCCGGCTTTGATGGCAGTCTCGAGCCCGTGGAGGATGGCTTGGGCTAGCGATGCGGTCCAACTAGTTGTGCTGATGGTCTCGTCGAGACGTTTTTTGATGGCGTAGTGCGAGTCGGTGGTTAGGATGATTGTGATGACATCGGAGGCGATGTCTTCTGTCTTGCGAGTGGGTGGTGCTTGGTTGTGAGTAGGTCGTGACGGGAAGCATTGCATTATCGAGTTGACAGCACCCATTTTGCGTTCTGGGGGAAGTTTGTATAAGTATTTCTTCTTGAGATTAGATCGGTGTGAGCAAGGATAGGGATTTCTCATAGGTGTTTGTGGGATTACATTCACTAAAGTAGATGGTTAGGTCGGTCGTTATAAGTATGGGACGAAGCCACGGATAAATGCAAGGGAGTTGAACCCACAGGTGCTGCGCTGGCGATAGGCCCCGTACTTTCCGAAAAACATTTTCCGGGGCATTTTATTAGTCTTATATATCTATCATCTCACTGCACCGCCTTTCTTACTATGATGAGGTCTGCAGCGGCGCTGTTCGTCCTCTACTGGCTGATATTAATCCATATCGCGAGCGCCAAGGCTCCGCAGTGTGAGTGCATCTTAAGCGCCAGCCTTGCATGCTAGGTGGATCTGGGATGGAAGGACATCGGATAGGGATTGGCTAGTATGGATTATTTGATACGTAGCCTTGCATTGGTTTTGGGGCAGAGCAAATGACCTACTGGGACTGGATATTTTTTTGGAGTCTGAGATGGATGGTGGTGCATATTAGTTGGGAATACCAAGTGATATGTCAGATCACTACTAGTATAACATAGGTAATGATGTTCAGAATAAAAACAGATGCATGGTTTGTATTATATCACCTACACATGCACGAAGGAATGACTTATTATTAGTACGTACATCAGCGATGTCCACATTGCAATACATAGAAGACATGCGCCAATCAAGAGACAGAAATGGGAGATAGACAGTTTTTGTTTTTGCTTTTGAGCAGAAATTCAGACAGAAAATTAATACTTTTGATGTGATGATCCCAAGATCAGTCATTGGTTGTTCGCTGTTCAGATCTTCTGGCAGCAGCCCCAACAGCCCTAAACGATGACCTGTTAATATGATTACCTTTACCTGCACCAAGTGAAAAAGACATACCTCAGAGCCAGTTGGGTGCTAGAACAAAGTTAGTTATTGAATGCGATCACGATAAAAAAAATTACAGAGTAGCTTACTTCATCACTGGCACAAGCAGGCTTCTCCTTCAGACACATGGAGAGACACATCTCCTTCTTGACAGGCGCAGTTGGCTTGACTTTCTGGCAGCAGCCCCAACAGCCCTGAAAATACACCGTTAATACCATTACACTTGCCTATGCCAGCTAAAAGAGACATACCTCGTAGCCAGTGGGTTTCTAAAGAAAGTCAGTCAGTGATGCTATTCTAGGGAAGGTAATATGCAGTTACGCACCTCATCGCTAGCACAACTAGGCTTCTCCTGTTGACACATTGAGAGACATGACTCGCTCTGGACAGGGGCAGCTACTGCTTCGATTTTCTGGCAGCAACCCCAGCAGCCCTGAACACTCATTCGTTATCATTATTACTCTTTCCTATGGGCAAACGAGATATACCTCAGAGCCAGTTGGATGCTAGAACGGGGTCAGTAATTGCGCATCGTGAAAAGAGAATATAGAATAACTTACTTCATCACTAGCGCAAGCAGGTTTCTCCTGCAGACACATGGAGAGACAAGCGTTGCTTTTCTCAGGGGTGGTAGGGGCAGCGGTCGCCACAAGGAGGCAGGCCATGAAGATAGCAGAGACACGAAGCATTTTGGTGGACGTGGGGAACAAGGAAGTGTTCAGAAGAACAATTGAGATTGCTGTGCGAGGAATGCTTTTGTATTCAGATGTGAGAGTGTTGTTGATGAATTATACCTGAACTTGAGTTGAAATATGCGAGTATTTATACCCCGAATCTGATAATCTGACTGTAATGGTCAGACCATCCCTTGCTCTCCAGATCGTGTCCGGGTGGATCCACCCCGGAACCTTCTAAAATAAGTAACTCTGTATCCCTGACAAGAAGAGCTGAACACACCTGCGGCTTCGGGCCGTGCGTTATCATGGCACCTAGTGGAGCTGAAACGGTTGTACTACCTTGGATGCTTTGTTTGGTGTCTATAATTAAATGCATTGACCAATACACAATCGTCAATGAAACAGGGAAACATACCAACCATCGGGAATACGAGGACAACATATTCTGTAGGTGATATCGCTGCTGTGGCAGATTCCTCCATGAGCGTGGTATGCAAGGGGCCTAGAATTACTTAGCGGAAATGGAAATGCAATGGCACGTTGCTTTGCATCGCATCTGATGCCTGATTCGAATTGAGAGTAGTATAGCTTTACGAAATGGTATGTTGGGATGTTGGGATATTGAGTATGTAGTGTGCGACAAAATCAATACAGATATTATTGCATGGGGCGATTTGGAAGCTCGGTTGTCAATTTCATAAACGCTCAAGGCGAAGGCGATGCTGCTGAGGATCAATGAGAGTGAAGCGTCAGCGAACGTGCTTAGAGACTACCATACCTAAGAGACTCAATACGTTGATTCTTACATGGTGACCCTGGTTCAGGGAGTACAGAGCACTATAACAGAGTTTTCTCTACAAGTGACGTTGTTCTAGGCTTTGCCTTACGACATTAATAAATCATTATGATTTGCATTATTCCTTGACGAGATTCTGATTTTAACTGAGAAACGTAAAAGCGACGTGTCTGGGGCGACTCATGCATACCTCTTATGTTATGATACCACAGTAACACTGCAGGTGGCGGATGCACACCCTTGCATGTAAAGTATCATGATCCTTTTGGCAATGATGTATGTTGATACTTTGATCCTGTAAGAGTTCTCGAACTGCGGGTAGAATCGGCTAAGACTTTTTATGTTCGTTTTCTACATTAAGTTGTCGAGGCACAAGGATCAGAAGGGCTACGATTTATAAAAGTATCACGGCAAGGTAGTCTTGGAATATATCGGGAGCTAATGAAACGGTTATATTATTTTTTCCTCATTATAAGGGTCTTGAAAGGTACGGAACATATCAAGGCCTGCATGGCGGACGTTAGAGTTTTCGGATGCATGTCATTTCTGTTGATCAGGCGTTTTTAGTCTAGAACGAACAGGGGAGTAGAAAAGTCTAGAAGTTCATAAATGTCCGATGGCAACCGGGCCGTTTGTGAATCAGGTGGAGAACCTGTAAGGTATAGTTTTACTCCTGTTGATCTATAGGGCTTATATTGGCTTAAGCCCCGGCTTCCCGCTTTTGGTACTTTGTCAATATGAGATCGATTAACATCGGAGCCCCGGAAATCCTCGGCATGTGGCCATGTAAACATCGGACGGCCTCGATCATTACTTTTATGTTTTGAGCTGAGTTCTCCTGATACTGAAGCGGAGATTCCTAAGTGCGATAATCTACGAGAGCGCATAGAGCTTTCTCCAGAACTTCCGCTCGGGTATCATAGGTAGAAAAGGCTAGACTCTTACAAACAAGAAGCCTCTCTGCTTTGGATGAGTAATGATACTTCTAAGTTATTGTCTTGCATAAGTCGTGAACTACAGGTCATCTGAAGTACTGTTCTCGAAAATGGACGGTGTATGGCCCTCGGACTTGCTCCTGACAATGCAACCCCCTCTAACTTGGTCATATTGTCGCAAGAGAGTAAGAATTGAATCATCAATGAAGCAACTGCCATTAAGCTATAAGTCTCTTGTTTCGCTGCATATACTTTTCTTCGGTGAAAAGCCTGGAGAAACTAACTCAACCTTTCATATAGAATATATTTGATATACAATTCTTGGAAGATTGTCCGTCGGCATTATTTATCACTTCCTGAAGTGCGTATGTCAGTCCATTAGAAAGAGTGTACCTGTAGACAAACACATGGTCTTTGCGATCGTAGCCGTAGCATCGGCCACGACACATGTAACTTGTAAGCGTTGATAACTCTTCGTTCTAGCTTGATTGCGGATTTAGCAAATCTTCACTGAATGGCATGTGATACTGGGCATATAGACTAGACCGTAGCCTTAAGGTTTTTGCTTCTCCAGGATACTAGAATTCGGGTGGTGTTCATCCTCAATCTGGCCCCAAGTAGGGAGTATAGTGTCCCGATCCGGTAAGCCTACCGCGGCACGACTGACTGACGTATGATTGGTTAATATTAGGTCGCTTACCACTAGCACCGCACGGGCCACTCAAACAATTCTTTAAATACTGCGTCGACCCCCCGCTCTTTAGAATTTTTTTCTTTTCTTCTCCAGCTCTCTTTGCCTTTTGGCTTAGATCAAGTGTAGTATCTGTTCTTTTCAGTTTAATCTCTGAAAGTGTTCCATAGGAACACAACATTGATTAATCTTATTTTTGGTCTCCGTGGCAGGGCCCCTGTGCTTGCGCATGCCTTGCCCCACAGTGTCATCGGGCTTACACTACCCCCGATAGACGCGAACAACCCCCTTTTTCATCAATTTGGTCGGTATACCGACTGCTTGGAGAAGAAGGCGTAGTATCGAACCCGGTAGCGCTCAGTATAAGATACATTAGACAGTCCAGCAGGATAAATAGCCCTTTAGTCTATATCAGTTGTACGAGTTAAATATCCGGTTATGTGGTGTTTTGTTTTTCGTGCACGGCATATTGGATATGCATTGGTTTAGGTTTTATATCTCATCCGACTATCAGTAGTTGCGTAGTTTGTTTGATCATATGGACATTGGCTGATACTCTTTCCCGACACTATGCCTCGGCACCAGGGATCAACCAAGCTATTGAAAGCTCAAATCAAAAGCATGCGCCCGCTACGGGGGACTTTGGTTGTTCATCCACTACTTTATATATATCTCAAGCACTTTCTGCATTGTACAGTTCCTCAGTGACAGCAGCGGCCGGATCAACTTATCTTCTTCCACTAACTGGATAGGAAGAGTTTATGTCGAAGTATATTAACCACATGATCATATAGAAGTATTCACTCAAGTTTAAGATGGTTGATAATATAACCGAAGAAGTAATACTCGATTATCCCTGGACTTTGCTGAAAGAAGTCTACGAAGATACAGACATCACAGTCTGAAGAGATATCATACGATTAATCGGCTTTCTACAAACTAAATCTGATGTTAAACAACCAAAGGGGTTGCCCGGTGACAAGATTACTGCTGAGAAATCTACCCAGTTATTGTATCTGTACATGTTGGAAAGTTCAATACAACTCCCCCCAAGTGCTCATCGTGACCCAAGGAGATCATAATCCATTTCCACACCAAGGCAGTCCTTATGGGACCGTGTATTATTTCATTTGATAACTGTGATTCCACAGGAGCCGAATATTGTCCGCATAAATCGTTGCTAGATGAAGACAAGGGTTCGTCAATCATAAGCCAGCTTTTCGACTACGCTCTATTAGAAACAAACCACAAGCATCTTTATGAGGCCCTTTTGCACGTATGAGGTAGTGATGTAAAGTCTGGTCAATTATCCTGAGCAACTGTACTTGTCCTGTTTCAGAGAAACCCCATGAAGCCCTATGGTACCTTCGAGACGAACCACTCGAAATGATAGATTGGGTAGATGTAACGTGTGCCCACCAGGGTAATAAGAATTAGATAGAAATTTTATTCATGCTAAAAATGTACGCACAAGCTAAATCCGTCATGATCTGGCTTGAAATAGCTACAGAGAAGGGTGACGAAGCTCTCAAAAGCTTGCGTTACCTTGCACAACACAAGGCTCTCGATTTTTATTATTGTGATGTCAAGTCTGATGTTATCCTCAATGATAGATACTGTGACAATTCCACACATACTGATGTTCTAGCTGTAGTAGGAGATATATGTTCAAGTTCTTGGTAATCTCTTGGTTGAATAGTGCTCAGACACAGTGATGTGTCAGGCAGCATTCCGAAAATGATCTCCCATAACCCACCGTTGGGATACTCTAGCCAGCATGCCGGGAGCTTTGAACCGTATGACGTCGGTCTACCTTCTACCCTACTTCCTCACGTTGGTGATATTGTTTCAATTACAAATATCAATTCAAGTATGTATCAGGCAAAGACTATATCCTGTTTACATGTCTATAAAAGAGATGGCCGCGCGTTTTGCTGCCCATAAAGTGCCTTTGACGTAGTTCAAGACCCCGACTGTGTCCATATCCTCGGGCCTGCAGTAGCTTTCCCCACCTAAAATTAGCAGGTAGGAATTCCGAGGCAAGGTATACTGAAGATCAACAAGGGCAAGCTCAGCGCGTGACACCCTCAACTCACCACTTATTCTATATGTAGCCTGGATTGCATTGGGCACTAAGGGCTCAAGTGGAAGCAAGCGTATGCTGCCTTATGACATATGGAACAATAAGCTATGGAAATATGATTCTGTCACACGAGCTTGCACGTATAGCATCGTATGCTGGAAAGTCATCACTTCCAAAATAGGTAAAAAGCATTCCTCGGACATTAGAATCGCAATGATCGACAACTTTGTTACTGACTTGGTAAATAAATGTCCGTCCTGCATACCAACGCATCTATAGGATTACCTATCCCCAAGGGATGAACCTGTTTGTCTTATTTCACAGCTCAGCCTATATTCAGAAGCGAATTCGCATGGGAGAGGACTAATCATGGAGAACACTCCTATTTGTACAACCATATCCCGTGTTGGCTCTATCTTTCAACCCACCCGAGGTGACCCCTAATTCTGCTCTTCCATCGGTAGTATCACAAAATGGAGGGTAAGGATACTGAAAAGGCCCCGCAGGTTCACTGCAAAGAGCCGAGTATTCCATCCCCAACGGAATCCTCCCAGACCTTTGACTTAGAGTGCGAATACCACGATCCTAAGCTACCTCCAGTAGATGGAGGAATCCACGCATGGCTTTTCCTAGCGGCATGCTTTGTGGTGGAAGGCACCGTATGGGGTGAGTTAACCACGTCTGACATGGTACGATAGCATCTGACGACGAGCACTATGGTTAGGGTTCGCCGCCTGTTTCGGTGTATTTCAAAATTACTATCGAAATGACCCGGCATTCCAAGGATCCCATGCTATAGCTGCGATAGGGACCTGTGCAATGGTCAGTAAAGAGTATCCCGTCCCATGGGCATATGATGACCTGCTAACAGCAATAGGGCATGGCGTACTTGCTATCCCCAATCGTGATGGCCATCTTGATAGCTCTCCCTAGACTGCAACGATGGGCATCCTCGATAGCATTCGTAGTCCTATCGCTTTCCCTAGCCCTGAGCTCATTCTCCACAAGTGTCACGCACTTGATCCTGTCACAAGGTATCGCATACGGCACAGCGGGCTGCTTCGCCTACGCCCCATCAATTCTCTTCATGCCGGACTGGTTCGTCAAAAAGAAAAGTCTCGCCTTCGGCATAGTCTGGGTAAACCATACACCCCTACCTCTCCATCTTGCATCCATTTATCCAATAACCCCAACACTGACACCTAAACAACCAAACAGAGCGGCTCAGGTTTAACCGGCATAATCTTCCCCCTAATCCTCCAATCCCTCCTGGACACCTACGGCTGGCAAACGACCCTCCGAATCTGCTCAGTAGCAATCTTCCTCCTCGCCGCGCCCTTCATGCTCTTCCACAAACCGCGCGTCCCCCGAAGAACAACCAACCTGCACCAACTCGACCTCAGCTTCCATCGCAACCGCACCTACCTAATCTACCAAGCCGGCAACATAATCCAATCCCTAGGCTTCTTCCTGCCCCAGATATTCCTCCCCAGCTACGCAGGACTCCTCGGCGCAAAGGGTCTCGAAGCATCATCCACAATAACAGTGTTCAACATCTCCAACATGTTCGGCTGCATCTTGATCGGATGGCTGGCGGATCGGTACCACGTCACGAAATGTATCCTCATTTCTACTGTGGGGGCGATATTCTCCACATTCCTGCTGTGGGGGATGAGTGTGCATCTCGCGCCGCTTTATCTGTTTAGTATCGTCTACGGCTGTACCGGGGGGAGTTTTTCGTCCTCGTGGGCCGCGACTTCGTCGGAGGTTGGGAAGAGTCATCCGTCTGCGGATGTGAGTATGGTTTTCGCGTTTATGGAGACTGGTCGGGGCATCGGGAATGTGATTAGTGGGCCGTTGAGTGAGGCGTTGTTGAAGACGAGGTTGTGGGAGGGTCAGGCTTGGGGCGCTTATGGGACGGAGTATGGGATTTTGGTGGTGCTTACTGGTGTTACTGGTCTTCTTGGTGGGGTGTCGGTTGTGGCGAGGGCTTTGAGGTGGATTTGAATTGAATTTCCTTCTTCGATAGCTGTGGGTTTATAGTTCCATTGGTTGTGTTAGATGAGGGTTGTATGTAGATTGGTATCTGTGGTAGGAAGAGTGAGGATAACAAAAGTGAGATGGGCGTTGTAGCGGGCATGATTTTTTTTTTTTTTCTCTGGTACTGAATGATTTTATGCACGATGCTTGTTATATGTATGATTATTCAATAACTATCTCCTGTCTATCATATATGGATAAGAACACTATACACATGATCACATGATCACATACTAATCATCAAATATATGCACCCAAACACCCGAAACTCCACTGTTGCTATATGTAAAATGGGGAATGTAAAAGACGCTTCCACGGAATATCTGTACCTCCGAGCGGGCCCGGAGTTGCAGCTTTCTTCTATGCACGCACAGCTGCCATGCCAGCCTCTTGATGTGAATTACACCGCAAACCGCGCGGTATTATACTAATTTATAGACTCTCGCGAAGCCTCTCCTGCCACGTCTTCGGTCTCGCCGTTTCCCAAGAGTAATTCTGGAGCCGGCCCGATTGCAAGTCTGCCTCTAGCGGGTGTACAAAACTGGTGCGGTAGAGAATCTTGTGGCCGAGGTACAGGACCACGAAGATGATCACGCAGATGTACGCGACGAAGAAATCGGAGACGTTGAAGGTAGGGATCCAGGCCGTGAATCCTTGGGTCAGAATGATCAGGACGCTGAAGAACAGTCCGTACCACGTCAGGTAGGGTTGGAAGGCGGCTTTGTAGGGTAAGGTATCACGAGAGATGTCGCGCGCCTTCAGGGCACGCATGAAAGCCAAGTGACTCAGACTGATGGAAGTCCAACAGATGAATCCAGCCACACTGGAGATATTGACCAGCCAGTTGAAGACCTTTCCACCGGACTCGGAGACGTTCATGAACCCGAGAAGCCCGAAGGCGGCCGTGAAGCCGACGCTAATATAGGGCACACCACGGTGAGTGACCCAACCGAAGATTGGAGGCGCGAACTTTTCCTGAGCCAGACCGAGGAGGACACGACTGCCACTGTAGACGTTGGAGTTGGCAGCCGAGAGGACGACGGTCAGGAGGACGGCGTTGATCAAACTGGGAAGAACCTTCACGCCGGCGAGCTTCGCGGCGATGACCATAGGGGAGGCGGAGGCGTCGCTCGAGTCGGTGATCAGGTTGGGGTTGTCGTAAGGGACCAGCAAGCCCATGAAGAAGATGGTCAGGACAAAGAAAACGAGGATACGGATGAAAGTCTTGCGGATGGCCGAGGGAACGGTCTTCTCCGGATTCTCTGTCTCACCAGCCGCGACACCAACCAGCTCGGTACCTTGATAGGAGAAACCAGCCTGTACAAGCACGGCCCAGAAACCGACGAACTTGGAAACCGGATTTGACGCGTCGATCAGATACGGAGCAAATGCTCCGGGATCCTTCCACGTGCTGAATCCAAGGTAACCCTGCTTTCCCACACCAGCATCAATGCAGATAGCGAAGATCATGAATCCCAGGACCGTGAGCACTTTGATCATCGAAAACCAGAACTCGATCTCTCCATAGAATCCAACCGGAAGGAAATTGAGAAGTGTGATCACTACCCAGAAGATGGCGATGAAGATGGCTACCGACAGTTTATCGTCCCAATACTGAACAATCAGACCGGTAGCAGTCAGTTCCACGGCGTATGTCGAAGCCCAGTTAAACCAATAAATCCAACCCATCGCGCAACCCAGACTGGGATCGACGAGTCGTGCAGTGTAGGAGGTGAAAGAACCGGAGATCGGAAGATACGTTGCGACCTCACCTGCAATGAATTAGTACCCCGCACATATCTCATCTCAAGACAACAAAGACTTACCAAGTGAGGACATGACCGAGAACACAATAGAACCAACGAAGATATAGGCGATGAGGGCACCCGCCGGACCGGAGTGTGCGATGGCTGTTCCACTACTGATGAACAAACCCGTTCCAATTGTACCACCTGCGTCATGGTTAAAACCCACAGTTCCAATCACCTTGTATATTAGATCCTGACTGACCGATAGCAATCATCTGCAAATGTCTGCTCTTCAGCTTGCGCTGTAAGTCATGCGGCGGCGTATCCCCTCCAATTCCATCCTTCTCCACATCTTCATTTCCGTTGCCATCCTTCTTCTTGCCGAACTTGCTCAGAGGGTTCGCGCCCGTCTTGGTGCTAATCTTGTCACCGTCGTTTCCAGAAGCGGTTTCCGTCACCTGCGGCGCAGGGGTGACTTCGTCAATGGCCATCCCGGCCGTATATTATGTTGTGTATTGGACAGGAAAAGGTGACTTGTCACAGGAAAGGTGAGAGTGAGGGGATTGGGACGCGGTTACGTGCATGCACGAGTTCGATGATCTGAGTCAAAGAAAGAGAAAGCTTTTCCGAACAGATACTACGTAGTCATACGGTTGGGATTTATTATTTTATTTTATTTTATTTTTTTTTCATTTTCAATTTTTTTTTCTCTCTTTCTTTTTCTTTTCCGGCTGCGACTAGAAAAATTCATCGAGCCAAACTGGAATAAGACTCCGCAAAGAGATCCACTCGCAGACTTTTCACTGGCCGGAAGGCGCCGAGCCATTATGTAAAATCGAACGGCCAGCCGATGAGAGCGGAAAGTGGCCTTCGTCAGTGGTGTCATTGCAACACAACCAGCGAGCTTAGCGGAAGCCAATGCCGATATTTTCACCTTCATGACATGGATTGAAGCCTTCTTTAGTACAGAGCATTTTCTCACCCCAAGAATCTTCAATGCAATGTCATTGAGAACTTTAATCACCACCGTGAGGCCATCGCGTGCGCGGTGGGTCTCAACCGTATCTATCAGTGCCAAGACCTCGGACCCCTCAAGTTTAGATAAAAATTGAGTTAACAACTTATGCAGGGCTTTCAACTGGTAACAAAGGCAAACACCAACAGGACATCTCCTGGGTGGCGACTAAGGAGAATTCATGGCGGTATTCGCCCCCCTTTGTTACTTAGGGCAAGAACTAGTCACAGTATTGTTTTGCAGGTTTGCCCCTCCTTTGGATGGCAAAAATGGTCGAAAAAGAACTGTTTGCGCTTAGTGTCGGTTGGTGTCCGACCCTAGTCCTCATGCGGCATGGCTCCCTGGTTCAACGATCAGGATCTCTTATCAGTCACATGCTGATAAGTCACATGGGACAAAAGAAATGGACAACTATTGATGGAGGTATCTTTGTGGCCCTAAACCTGACATCCAACGACAAGTCATGTCAAAGAAATGACATTCTTGGCGGGCACCTCATTGTCCCCAGATTCCGATGGGTCATATGTGAATCGTCATCTTGGCTCCTGTTCCCCGTACTTTGCGAATTAACTTCCGTCCTATCCAAATCTAAATAAAGGACTCGTGTACTGATGCCCTACCCCGTATATCTAATCCCCAGAATTTGTCAAATGAATGTCAGTGTTCCGGGTATAGCTTCTATTTCACTTAATGTTATCGTAACTATAGTAGTAAAAAATTTTCTTTCCAAAAAAAAAAAAAAAAAAAAAAACCCACACTCACAAAGACCGCCCAGCCAGCCACCCAAAGCATACATTAAAGTCGGTAGACCGATAATACAAAACTCAATCACTCATGTCGAGACCCATCCCTCCGAATCTCATACATCGTGGTAACCTGAATGCCCCCCATTGGGTGCCCTCCCGCCTCCTCATCTGACAGGCTCTCGGACCGCCCTGTCTGCCCATCGTTGACAAAAGTACGAGTTCCCGCGCCATGTAGGATGAACTCATCACTGGATCGCCCGCCCACCTTCGTACTCTTCGTCGACTCCAACTGACTAGGCTTCGACTTCCCGAAAACTGATAAACTGTAGCTACCCTTCTTTCGCGAGGATGAGTACTGGTCTTCCGAGGACCCGAGCCAGGTCGAGGTGCTGAAGAGCGGTTTGATGCAGGGAGCGTTGACGGCGATGATACCGACGAACTGGCTACTTATTAGCGAACCCAATGTCCTTCCCAAAGTAATCTAGCAAAGAGAGGTGGATGTCTGCGACGTACCGTTTCGCGAATAGCCCAGATGGTACTGGTGTTGATGCTGTTGATACTCTGCAGGGAGAGAATACAGCGGAGGAGCGTTGCGATCATGACGAAGACACCGCCACATAGGAGAACTCCGATAATCAGCTTTCTATGCGTTGTCTGGTTAGAACTGGTTCATTGTGTTTGCGTTTTAGTATACTTACCGACGCAATGCGAGTCGCACTTTAGCTAATAAGGGAATGGGAATGCACACGAGAATTGCGTCTGTTCTGTGGTATATTAGCATGGAATCTGGTAGTAGGTAGGGGGTTACGCACGAGACATTGGTCACCGCGATTACGATATAGTTCACATAGTCAGCAGAGCAGTTGACTGAACATAAGAGTTAGTTATGGATGCTTTGTCTAAAGGACAATGTGAGGGTGTACTTACGACCAGGATCTGGATAAACCTGCCAGTTCTTTTCCAGTGGACGACAGTGGAGAAAGATAGTCAGGATAACGGCAATGTATGTGCTTGCGCAAAGCACGGCATTAAATTTGACGAGCTTTTGTTGGACAAGGCCCAGCCTAGAAATATGGTCAGTTGGGTAGCTGACTTGGTGGACTTCGTGGAGCCCTTACGTAAGGCGGTTGTAGAAAAACAGCATGCAGGCTTTCAGTGACCAGATCAGGGTCACGTAACAAGTCCAGCCGGCGAGAAGACACTTGGAACCACGGGCGAGAATCTCGGTTTGCTCGGGGGTCAGCGAGGCCCTTTGAGCATCATCAAGTCCGATATTGGTGCCATATTGGCCTGTGGAGAAACAGATTAGGCGTTTTCTAGAACTTGAGAAGATAGAAGAGCCTACCGATCAGTTCCAACATGGTTAGTTCTGCCTGGCGTCTGTTAGAGTGTCATGCTGTGAGACTCGGGGTAAAGGAAGATTTTACAGTCCAGAAGGCGAGAACTACAAACGTGAAGTAGTCATCTCCTTGCCAGTTCTTGACTCCGACCACTCTAAAACGTGCGAAAACACGGAGTAATATGATAATCACGCCTATGCCGTATTCCGTCCATGCTTCTTTTTGGAAGGGGGTGGCATGGGCCATCGTGGAGGGAATGTGTGGCGGAGTGAAGCAAGGCTGTGGAAGGTACTATTCAGTTTCCAAATTTCCACATAAGAATCATGCATGAAAAGAAGCATGGCCCAGATAAAGGTCAACAGTTAAAGTCATGGGGAGTTTATGGGTATACTGTTTCCAAGAACGGATCATCAGCAGCCACTTTCATTCTGCGGGTATGTCTTGAATAGGAGTTAAAGTTTTATTTATTTCCTCCAGGATCTAGTCAGGATAGCTAACCGATTTCTGGCGAGGAGCAACAGTTGAAGTATCGAAAAAAGAAATGTGACCCAGAGAGACTTGATCGGCTAGCTTGTTCCTCGTGTACGGGGTAAGCAGGCAGCACACCTTGAACAAGGTTTTCGAACTGGATCCCAACTGTCAGGGTATGGATCCCGATAGGGGGTTTACCCTGTGGATGTCGAGTGGGCTCTTCTACCGTGTCAACTTTGTCTGGACATCGGGATCTGGTTGGGATTTGAGGGTCGGCGAAGCTACTAGGATTCACGACGATCCCAATTCACAATCACTATGTACCATAATGCCGGGTTTTATTAGACCATTCGGGGTAGGGTGGCGAGCGCCCCTGACAAGGATGCGTACGCCAGAATCGATAGTTTGGGTTTAAGGGTGCTTCAACGTCCTGCATGACAGGGAATACGACCCATTTGCCTTCGGGCCAGAATAACTCTAAAGCTTCGCAAAATCCGAGATAAATTGTTGGGGAACCTGTTCTTCTGGAAACCAATTATCTCTTGGTACTGAGAAGCATTTTACAGAGCTTTACCCCATACGCCAAGGACCTGGAGTGATGATAGGTTCAAGAAAGAGGTTAGGGTTATTATTTTAAGGCAAGCTCATTAGGAGTACAGTATGATAGGTAACACACTTGACCCAAGAGGATGTGGAGTATAGGAACTCTCACATCCTTGCCCCACACTTTTTGGGGTATTAGGTTTGATTCGCTCTCAGAGCTTTTTCCGAATTTAGTTTTGAGATAATTTCTACCAGGCCGTGTGCGTTCTGCTAGTGGGAGAATAGCGGGTAAAAGTGGAGGTAGACATCGTGTCCGTGTCGGGGCTGAAGAGGGAGCCATTTTGGAGCCCGCAGACCCGTTTTCCTAGTGTTGATCGCTTGATATCTGGTCTACAATATCAAAGATCAAAACCTCTCCCCCCGAACTGAGGGGCTTACGGATCGCATTAATGGAGGTATGCACGTACGCCATCCATGGATAAGCAACCGCCTGCAGAAAAAACCGTACCCAAGGAAGGAACATCTCAGTACGCGACACGAATCGGCTTGCATAAATTACGCACTGCTGGTAGGGATTGCCTTCAGATCATCCATGGTGCGGGCTTAGTGGCGTCTTGGCCCACCCTTTCACTTGTGGAATTAATTCTCGACTTACGATTCGACTGCAACGCTACTAAATAAGTTCTTACCTACAGCGAATCACAATGGCTTTGTTTCTGGTCTAGGCTTAGAGAATGGCGATACAACTACCTTAAATAGCCGTGGAGTCGCACTGCACGGATCATATCCAGCAATGTCCGAATATCATTGCTCAATGGTCTGTAGACTAACTCTTCCTTCAGCGACCGGTCTGTTTATCAATAGCTGAAATCCCCTCTAGGATTTAGAGCCAAGCTAGTCACAGTATAGTTAGCTGAATGTCTGACTACTTTGCTCCCCTCTTTTTTTTTTTTTTTTTTTTTTCTAGGCTGGCCACTTGCATCGGAATGTAGGGGTAACAGGCCTGTGCCTGCAAAGTGGGGATGTGCCCATGGAGCTGATTCCGCTCACACCACTGAGAAGACACAGCTACATCTGTGTTTATAAAAGGGGAGCATGTCGACATGACACACAAGCAGCCTTAGTGACCCTCCAAATTCCTTTCACAAATTTCTTTGTCATCTATCACTCGCTCTTCCTCACATAACATTAGGTTGCCATCATGGGTAGCACTTCGGAAGATGTTTACGACTACATTATTTGCGGGTAAGTGCGGGGTGCAGTAATTGAAGAAATAGTTAGATGTGAGTGGGCACTGATATACCAACCGGATAGAGGTGGTACAGCAGGATGCGTTGTCGCGGGTCGTCTCGCCGAAGATCCAGATGTTACGGTGCTAGTACTTGAGGCTGGTCAACATAACAAAGATCTGGAAAACGTACATATGACGGGAGGGTATGAACCCCAAATCTACGTCCGCCCGTCTCACTCACTAAGTGTGTCGCAGATGGTCAAATAACTTTGACTCGGAAACAGATTGGAATATAGTCACACCACCTATGAAAGGAGTCGATAACCGACAGGTGAAACTGAGCCGAGGCCGCTTTTTGGGAGGCTGCAGCGGATGCAACGGTACACTGTGTGTGAGAGGTAGCAAGCAAGATTACGATGATTGGGAACTAGAAGGATGGAGTGGAGAGGAATTCTTCGCCGCAATGAGAAAGGTATATTCTTCTCGGGGTTATGGAACTTCAGACCATGCCTAACAGGATGCTATAATAGTCGGAAACATTCCATCCCAAAGACTGGTTCCAAGCCGACCCCCAGAGTCATGGTTACAATGGCCCTCTGCACACTGAGCCTCACGATCTTGCCCCAATCTCGAACCTTCTCATAGACTCTCTCGTTTCGCAAGGAATGCCTCTACATCATGATATGTTTAGCACCGGCGACGTCGCCCACGGATGCGGTCATGCACCTCGTACCGTGTACAAAGGTATCCGTACTACGGGCGGGGATTTTATAACCAACGATTACAACCGATCCAACGTTACTATTCAAACCGATACTACAGTCGACCGCATCGTGTTGGAAGAAAGTGCAGCTGGGCTCCGGGCGACAGGTGCCGTGACCAGATTAGCCGATGGGACCACGCGCACTTTCCACGCGAGAAAGGAGGTTGTCATTTCCAGTGGTGCTTACTGCAGCCCTGCCGTGCTTATGCGATCTGGAATCGGGGCACGGGAGGAATTGGAAAAGTTCGACATTCCTTGCAAGGTTGACCTGCCTGGTGTGGGTAAAAACCTGATGGATCATTTGGTGAGCCCCATGTTCGCTGACAATCCGGAGGGATACTAACCCAATCAGATTGTATTCATGTTCTACGAAACCGAAAGGGCAGGCCTGACAACTGACTGGCATGTTTACCACGACGATAACATGGAAAAGACATACGCACAATGGAAAGAACACAAGACCGGATTTCTATCAACATTTCCTTTCGGCGCCTTTGCCTTCGCCCGCCTGGACGAGCGTCTTAAGGACGAACCACTGTGGCGAGACGCTCCTCGCGAACCTGGCCGTGACCCAATGGGCCTGACGCCTAAACAACCTAATATCGAGTTCTTCACCACCGAGTGCTACGGCGGACCCAAACAGTATGACCAATTCCCCGTCGACCACAAACATGCGTTCTCGATGATTGCAGAGCTTTTTGCTCCGAAATCTCGTGGTACCGTTACCTTGAAATCTAAGGATCCCCTGGAAAACCCTATCGTTGACTGCAACTACCTGGCTGATCCGATGGACCTGTTGGTGCTGACCGAGGCATGCCGCTTTGGAAATGAGGTTGTCATGAAAGGGGCTGGAACTAAAGATATCGTCAAGGGGTCCTGGCCTTCCAATCTGACCCATCATACCTATACGACTCGGGAGGAGTGGATTCCATATGTCAAAGAACATGCCACCACCTGTAAGTTTGTCCGTAGTCCTCGTCCAAATGCTATGCTAACGTAATCAGGCTATCACGCCTCCGGAACGTGTGCGATGGGCAAGGACGACAACCCCCTTGCTGTCCTAGATAATAAGCTCAGGGTCAAGGGAGTTGCTGGATTGCGTGTTGCGGACTGTAGTGTGATGCCTACCTTGCATGGTGGACATACCCAGATGCCAGCATATGGAATTGGGGAACGGTGTGCCGATTATATCAAGGAGACCTGGTCTGGCTCATCAGGGGAACGGATCTTAAGTCGTATGTAACTGTGGCGATTACGGCTTTAAGTTATGAAATTATCGAGCCTTGGCATTGGAAGATCAAGGTGCTTCATCATGAATGCATGTCGCATTACCTAGCGAAGTATATAAGTGAAAGCTTGGATCAGTTGATCCTAGTACAGCAGACTTTGCTTGCCTCTGGGTTTTTGATTAAACGATATTATGTATATAGTTTGTGACATTGACAACAATTTTCAACAGGAATAAGCATAAGACGTCCCTAACCTATACCTAGAAATTACAGAACTACTAACTCACCTACAACTCGGTAGATATCTACAGAATATCCCCCTGTCTGGAGGAGGGAGAGGTAGACGAAAGAGGCGCTTCTCTTGGTGGTGGATGAGATAGCTTATCCCGGCTAGGGGGAGCAGGATGCTGGGTAGTATGCCTGATAACTTCATTTTGATACTGTATGGAGGGTTTGTGCTCTGTACAGATTGATGTAGTTGTTTAGTTCTGTATTGGTAGTTGTTCTTCTATGATTTATACTCAAGCTAAAATAAACCATAAGAATTACATATTTGGCGTTTTGCATCATAGTCGTATCTGATGAACCAAAGATCAAGTAGTGGCTTTTTAGGTAAATGGGACCGAAACAGCTCGCATGTAGCCTCTCACGACTTTGTGTGCTTGGCGAAACGATGTAAGTGTAGAACAGGACGGTCGGTCGTGACGATGATACCTCCCGACAGGGCGACTATTCTAACGGTCATTGAATAAACCTCCATATTTTACGAGAAACGACCATAGGGGACCACCTTGAGATAGAGTTTATGTACGTTCCTTACTTCGATACTACTCTCCCCAGAGCCCTACAATTCCCATCCTATCATAGATGATCAGATATTCTGCTACCACGGCTCATTGATAACCTTAATATTTCTAGGTTTACTCCTCTAATACCGGGGGAAAAAATGATTAAAAGTTTCAGATTATTGTTTCAGGAGCAGAGCTGTTATCAAATACAATATCTGAATGGTTTAATAGATAAGCCATGAGCGATTATATATGAAGACGAAGTTGGTTACCCGCATCACAGCAATAGATAGTGCTCTAGTTCGGCCTAGACACACTGGAAGTACCAAGGGTTCCACTCGCGGCAGGTAGTACCAGCTTCACACGATCCTGATCCAGTCCAACCCTGGCCACCACATTGATAGTATTTCTTGATAGTACCATTTGATGGAGCGGACGAGGTAGGGGCAGCGGAGGACGTTGCCGCAGGGGTACTGAAAGTCTTGGAGAGTGTCACGAGAGTCGTGGGGGCTACAGAGGAAGCGGCGGCGGCGTTATTGACCGGAGGGGCGGAAATAGAAGGAGAGGAATCCGAGACGCCGCCAGACCAGACAGAGGGGCCGGGGAGGTCGTAAGAAGTTGGGGTCGGGTAGTAGATGTTGAAGTGGATGTTGGGATCTTCAGGCTTGTATACTCCGGGGATCTTGACCAAGGGGCCCGGAACGCCAGACCCAGAACCGGTGACTTCGATTTGAGCGCACGTGAAGTAGAACTCGGAATTACCACTGAAGCCGCGATGAAGGCCAATGTGCTCAACACGGACAAGGTATTGACCGGGTGGAGTATTCTCGGGGATCTTGAAGGACGCAGTATCCTTGCCCCAAGTGCACCAATCGGTATCCTCCAAGCCATTGGAAATGTCTTTGCAAATACCTTCCTGATATACCTTGAACCAGTCGCCTGATCCGTCGTAGTCTTTGACGTCGCCGGGTGCTTTGGACATGTAAATTTGCAGAGGACCGGGGTGCTTCATCGAAGCACCATAGGCGAGTTGAAAACCGATCTCTGCGCCCGGAGCAACCGTGTAGACCTTTGTCTTGGCAGCAGAGTCCATGGAACCTTTGTTGCAACGGAAGTCGTTGCTCACAATTTCAGAAGCCAGTGTTGGTTGGTACCCATTGCTATTCTCGCGGATGTATTCAAAATCCTTGGTTGTCTTTCCGTCGACAATCAACTTCGAAAACACATAATGACCCGAAACCAGCGGGGCAATACTCGCAAGAAAACAGAGAGAGGCAAGGTTTAGCTTCATCTTGGACAAAAGAAAAAAAAGTAATGAAAGGAAAACAAACGTCTAGTTTGTGGGTTAAGAAAGAAAGGGAGTGAATTAAAAAAAAAAAAAAGGAGCAATGAGAAGAATGAAAGAGTTGATATTGAAACGCCAACATGATCTTGCTGGTAGCCCATGGCTTAAATAGTTCTCCCAGCTTGAAGAGGGGTCGAAAGAGCGAAATTGAAGTAAAACCTCCCGTTTCATATTAATGTAGCCCTGGTGGCAGTTACCAGACCAAAGAATGAGAGAATCTTATACGAACTGTGCCGTGGCGTTTTACCTAGGCGTCAAGAGCCAAGCCCTCCTTGTAGCTCGGGACCCCTAGACTAAACCCCTAGACCCGTACAGCATGATGTCTAGATTCCAGTGACCTATGTGCGAGGCGCTCTGCCAATGAGCAATTTGCGATTCGTAACGACATGGGTAGATCCACTACTATGTAGCTATTAGCTATTGCCCCACATGTGGAAGGGTAATGACCTTCCTTTCAAGGCATGGAGTTGTCTAGCGAGATAGGTACACACGGCTAAAGCCAGCCTGCTGTACCGCAAGCATGAATATTGGATGTACAGTGGAATAGGTCACCAACTATTCTGGTGGTTTTGATATATCTACAACTCAGCTCACACTAGGTGTACAAGACTATATCCACTCGAAGAGCAATCACGGACAGATTACGAGCAGATTGAAGGAGGGGTCCTCCTGTTCAAGTATGAGCGCCGAGGTGGCAAACCGATTACCCACCTAAATCAGCAAAGCGTTGCCCATCTAGCTGTTTCTACCAAGACCAGGTAGGTACCAGGCACATGCACGAGTAGAAACAGAGGGGTTTCGTCAGTATTCAATTGCCAGATGGAGAGGAACGGTGTCATTTCCACATTGGAGCCTTGTTGGACGAAGCGTCGCAGCCCCTTCCATTGATCTGAGTCGCAAGTTAAAGTTAGAAGCGAGTTTACTCCGGAGTATGTAGGGCTAGTGGGGTTTCCGAATCTAGTCTAGATAGGTGGAGCGAAGAAGATTAGTGATCTTGTCAGAAAACATGAAACCGCCGTCCTATAGCCATCGGATCGTTCTTAATTTGTCAACTGCCGAGTCATAACTAGAAGTCTGCTCAGTGAGAGATTCACAGGCAAGAGGTGGATCCACTTTGTCTTATGAGGATCATTCCACACAATTCGATTCGTATTGTGGATTTTTCCCTGAGACCCTGGATTTCGTTGAACCTTCTTCACTCCGTTCTGACTCAAGAGGACCGGCGCAGCTGCAAACCTAGCCTGCAGTTTCACGCGTTTGTGCATCGCTAGCAGCAGTATTCGGTCTTCCTCTATGTACAGATAGTTCCGGACCTGAGAAGACACCATAGCCACCCATTTTGAAGCGATTTGGACGAAACAGTGTGACACCGGCTTATGATATGTTACTGCATCTAGCCGTAGGATATCATACAGACTGGACTTTATCCCATTGGCCAGAGCCAAAGTACCTCGAGCGATGGCACGATTTAGGCTTCATCCGAGCGGGAAATGGCTCTGTACCCGGCGTCTGAACGCAGACTCTGGAAATGGCCTCGAGAGCCTAGAAACCCACAGTATGACGAAAGTTCTGCCGAATTCTAACCAGATTTCAATTTCCGGTCTATCTATACCACACCAGCCTGTCTATAGCTGACAGCTACCAGATGTAGTGGTCTCCGCTGGTGCCCCTTTTCGACACATGAGCTCCTCTTGGCGCTTGACTGCCTCGGTAGTCATAGACTCATGGACAATGTACGAAGTAGCTACGGAGAGTTGATACCATTGATGGTTGGATAGTCCACAGGCTTAGGCTAGACCCACTTGATCAGGGTCTTTGAGCACGGTGAGCTTTAAACGTTTCGAACTTGTGGACCCTGGTATAACCGGGCGATTTCCTATTGGAGTAATTGCGCGTTAAGCGAAACGACTGATTTGTTAATTTACCAATGGAAGAGTTGAAAAGTGGAAAGCAAGAGGCAGCCACTTATTATAGGAGACTAAGCGAGTTTCGAGTACTCAATGCGGAATAGTTTCTACTAAGGTAGTTTCTATCTAGTCCCTGAACTACGGCTGAAAGTGGAGTCGGGCCAGCTTGCATGCCGACGCTGAGGTGAAGTCTTGACTTACTGGGGGTATCCACAGTCCAGGCCGCTGACAGACTTCTTTAAGTTAGCCTGTCCGATAATTGCCCGTTAACACGCAGAGGTGGCCTGGGTGAGGAGCCCAAGTTTCCACGCCCTGGTAAAGATAGCGTAGATTGCAGGAAGTAATGGCCATGGTCTGGTCAACTTTCGTGCGCACCATCTCCCCGTGGCTGATACTCTTACTCCAGGCCTCAGTGCTAAACTTGACATTGTTGGACCGCGCAAAGGGGTGCGCCTCCGTGTCAGCGAGACTGGTCCAAGTACCGGAGAGACTGATTGAAGTCCAGGAACGGAAATATCTTGCACCGTCACTGCCGATGGCCTCAACGAGAAAAAGGTACTCACCGTCACCGGTACTGTATACATTGGATGCCTCAAATAAGGCATTTTATATTCGTGTCTTGCAGCGCGATGACGGTGTTCCCCATGCCTTTCGGAAAGTTCCCGAGGGAGGTCTGAGAGCGGTAGAGATGACCATAATCGTCTGATGAAAAAAGGTAGCAGTCGGACGAATCGCAGATCGTCCACATGTCGACCCAGGTTCCGTTGCCCAGGTTCTCCGAAAATGATACTGGGCATGCTGTCGAAGAAATTCTTGGGTGCGCTCCACCCAGCAGGGATTGCTGATATCGGAATTGGTGGAGTACGCAGCGTTACCGTTTTGGTAAACAAGGTACCACAGCTTGTGTGGCTCAAACTAGATGACTTGAGGAGCGGCGCGGTAGCCTGTTCCGACGGGGATTTGATCACGGTAATGGAATGTTGCTGAATTGGCCTCATCGAAATCGGTAAAGCCAAGGTAAACTAAATTATAACCAGATTCCTTGGCTGTGCTAGCAAAGACATGGTAAACGCCATCGACTTCGATGATAGATGGGTCTTTGATTCCAGCAAGGTCGTAGCTATCGTCTTTTGGGCCAATAAGAGGACCACTCAAGCTCCATTCGAAGCTCTTAGGGAGACTAGCCTTCATCACGGAGTCATTCCGAAGACCGTCGCTAGCCGAAAGCACGTTGACAGCTGCAAGGCAGACTGAAATGACGGAAAGTCGAAGTGATAGCATTGTTTCACTTAAAGGGATCTTAGAGAACGAGAAATGATGAACACGAGTCTAGAGGGTTCTTTGTTTTCCGTATCATGAAAGCGTACTAAGGCTCATGTTTAAGAGCAATGGTTCACTAGCGTATAAAGCTCGTCCAGTTCTATTTCTGAAAGAATTCCCTCCAATGATTTATCAAAGTTGAGGTATTGCTCGCAATAGACAGGAAGCCGTCGAGGGGGCGAGTTTAGCGATGTCTCATCACTCGGGACCATTATCCGGTCATTAGCATATATTCTCAGTCGCTGCGGAGGTGGAGATCCTGAAAGCTGAAGCTTCTATTGCCTGAAATATAGATAGAGAGTGGATATACTGCGTGTTGATACCGCGCTACTCGCTGCGAGAATACCTTCTCGTGGCTTTAACTTTTTTGTGCCAACATACAAGGCTGAATCTCTCGTCAGGCGCAATAGGGGAGAGAACAAGAAGTACAGTGAGATAAGGGGTGACCATTGAGTTTAGCATACTTCTTTTGGTGGTAGCTTCCAGTAACCAAGTGTATTCTCCATCAATAAAGGACCTCGAGGTAACGGAGATCTGTGACAAAGAACAAGGATATCAGGCTGAATCGTAAAATTAAGGGGTCGCTTCCGTCTGAATTTAGGCAATAAGAGGTACTTTATGCATTAGAGTGAGCAGGACAAGACTAGACTTCGCCAAAACCCGCGGGTAGTACCCGCGGGTTTTGGGTTGTCAGTCTGAACCCGTGGGTTTACCCACGAGTACCCGTTTGTTAACAGACAAGAGTAAATATACAAAATATACAGATTACTTAGGGAATTAGAATTAGTAACTATTTTTATACCTTTTTTAACTAAAACAGGTTTTCGGCTGGTTTACGGGTTCGGAGTCTGCTTAGAATCTGAACCCGCGGGCCGGGTACGGACGGCGCTTTATATTGGACCCGAACCACGGACGTCCAATGAAGCAGGTTCTCAAACCGTCGTTTAATTGAACAATATCATTGCTAAGAACACTTGCTCTACTCGCTTGGACCTTCCATTCTGGAGTCCCTCGACATAAGACATTATAATAGCCTAGCTTCCTAATGTATAGCTTGGTACATGTGCCATTTGACATATTGTGTGAAAAGAATGGGGACTATGGATTCCCTCCAGCAGCTATAGTATAAAATATAGCAACCTTCTCCCAGCGTACGAAATGATGCAAGCATGGTACCGTTGTAATTTCTGAGAAAGGAGAGAAAATAATCTTGGATGGCCGAAGCAAAGGCACAACGGCTGTGGGCTTGCTGGTTTGTGAGTCTAAATCTTCTCTTGACCTTGTACGGCTTGATTGGAGTAGTGCCAACCAGACGAATGGACTTTTACAACTTCAGGAGTAAAGCAACAACGGAAGCCATGCCACTGACGCTGGTATCTCAACAATCATCTGCATCTAGAGATGCATTCCAAGCGGAGCTGGAACCGGTCAAGCAGGAAAGCACCTGTAAGCTGTTAGTCAATGTCTTCACAGTACCTATAACACGAAATTCAATCAGCCACGGTAAAGTTCTAATACAACGTACTTGATAATACCTGCTTTATCCCGGACCCCTTTCTTCGTCCGGTTGACGCTCTCTACCAGTCGATCCCGTACTATCTGTATAGGTATCCGGCTGATTTCTTTCAATAACCTCCTCAGCAAGATCATACCTCCTCATCACATCTTCCAGTAGAGAGTCAACCTCATCCCTCGAGAACCTCCTGTTCCTGTACTGTAATATGGTCCTCTTTTGCTCAATATATTCCCGAACCCTCCTAAGCTCTAGCATATTCTTCCGGGGTCGCTGAGGAAGGCCCCTACCTTTGAGAAGAGCTATAAACCCGGCAATGACAGTATTAATGGCGCCTAGCACGGTTACAGCAATCAAATGCTGACCCCCAAACGGCCCAAGAGCAGTTATGCTTGCCCCGACCATGACTTGCACGATCGCGAGTAAGTTGAAAGACATGCTAACGAAACGGTACTGCCACCATTCACGGGATTCATCCTGGACCAACTTCTTGTACAGTTTATCTGTTGCGTCTGTGAATGTTTGATAGGTCGGTGCTTCCTCTGCGAGTAAACCTGCGTGTGCTGGTTGCGAAGTAGGTGTGTTATTTGTATTGGACATGATGTATCTCTGAAATTTACGATAGCTTGACGAGAGCAGGATATTGTGCAGAAGGCTCGAGAGTCCCAGCTTCATAATATCTGATTCCTACTAATGGAGAGTCACGCAATATTTATAGCCCAGCTTCGTAGTGATATCCCCTCAGTAACAGGGGCTGCACATGGCGATCAACTGACATATGCTATAAATAAGAAAAGCTTAGGATCGGATTGGCTTAGCGAAGTTCCAGACCTAACGAGACCCTCCTAGGCTTAGGATACCCACGGTACGCTGAAGCCAACCCACGATAAGGTTAAATACTTCTGCAAGCCCGGCAGTGATCGAGATCCTAGGTAGCTTGCTGATATCCAACGTTTAAGCTCACATGATACCTGAGATGGACCAAATCTCGGAATGTTGAGCACCATTGCCATTGTCGCAAAATCTCTCTCTCTCACACACACACACACACACACACACACACACACACACACACACATCCTCCCCTCTATACTTCTATTTTCTTTTTCCTTTCCTTTTTATTTATATGCTTCTTCTTCCTCCCCCCTTTTTTTTCTTGTTTTCTTTTTCTTTTTTTTTTCTATTATTTTTCTTTTGTCTCTCTCAGACAAATGTTGAGTGTATCCTCAACATGTGCGGACATGACCTGCGAAAGGCCCAGGATCGCAGATATCGAACGACCTGCAGGTCCTGTTCAATTCAAAACATACATAAAGTATTGTTTGGCTAGGCGGCTGTCGACATGATGACATCGCAGGATGCAAACTTCATACGAGGTGTCACCCGCAGCAGACCGAGTACAACTTTGGTTCAGTCTAACCTTCAGCCAAGGGCACCATTCAGTCTAGATTCGCACTCATATGATCTCGTACGTGGAAACTTCCTTCTTACCAATTGACTTCCTACAGAAGACTTGACAGGCCTTTACTTTAAATATCAGGAATCAGCATAAACACGCGTTATATAATACTCTCAAGTCATTACCCTAACCTCAGACATGTCTATAGTATATTCACATAATCATAGATCCTCTTTTTGGATATACACCAAACGCCTATACTGAAATCAAATCTAGGAAGCATCATCCCCATTGATAGTTACTTTTGTACTTCCGCCCATTAACGCTAACTCGTCCCCAAATCGCTTATTGTCCCATTCCCTGTCACTCCTACCGGCTGAATCATTCTTCGCGGCACTGGATATTCTATGCATCCTATAGTTTGCCGGTGGACCATCGGAATGGTCCGTACTCCACGAGAAGGAGCAGCATAGTGTCCGTAGCAGCGGTCGAAGGGTCGGTAAACAAGCGCAGATGATTCCGACGCAGGGTTCGACGAAGGTCCAGGTTGCGGCTTCCATTACGGAGTCTGTATGTCGGTTGAGATATTAGTTGAGTGCGATTGGATTTGAGAAGGAATTAAAGGGAACATACATGACGTATCCATGGTTTCGAAGATATCGAGAGTAACGACTCGCATAACACTCGCGACACAGACACTGTAATCCATAAGCGTTCATCCTACACATATATAATAAAGTATGAGACGTACAATCCACCAAGAAGGAATATACCCAGAATAGTCAGCTTCTGCGACAACCGTAATTGAAGCTGTAGAACCATCGGAATCGGTAAAGCGAGGATAATCACATCAATGAGGAGATTGGATATCGCGTTGCCGAAGAAGAACTGTTTCGGGTCGATGCAAGTTCCTTCTAAGGTTTTGTTCCAGTTCAGGGCAATCGGGCGACATTGAAGAAGGACAGTGATAAAGACAGCGAGACACCATGATATGACTAGACCGCCGGCGATAAGGCTCGCGATTCTAAAGTTGCGAACGGTGAAGATTCGGCGATAGAGTAGGAGGATTGAGATTTTGATGGAGGGGACGAGGAGGGTGTATGAGATTTCGTTGGCGAAGAAACACTGCGATTGTTTATTAGACTAAGACTACAAATTGGATGTCCGCCAATACTCGCCTTTTGGAAGGTAATCTTCTCCTGAATACTTAGCTCGTCCATGTGTTTTCCTAGCCCGCCATCTCGGGCCCCTATACACAATCAGCCATGTACGATCTCGTCGCAAATTGGTAAACTTACAAAAAACAGCTTCTCCCAGCATGCTATAAGCAAGGATAATCGACACACAGATGACATAGTCATCCAGCCCCAACGTTGTTCTCATCCATCGCGCAACGATGCGAAAACCAACAACAACCGTGGACAGTGCGACGAGCACAGCACTGACCGTAATGTAGGTTTTCCCACGGTCATTAGCACCCATAACGAGATGAAAAAGCTTTTCCCAGAAGACGACTGCGCTGTTGTCGTTATCGTTGTCGCTGTATATACATAACCCTAGTCGCGCCGGTTAAATGACGGCAAAATTTCGCAATCTCGTCGGACGTGAGCCAAGGTTTGCTGGATTGCTTGACGTACTATTTAAACCCACGTGGAACCCGTATTCCGCTAGAATTTGCATGTGGATAACATTTTAAAGATAAGATTGAGAGTGGATTAGCTGTTTTTGAAGCTTGAATGGTTTCACTTAGCGTTTTGTGTCGCTATCATCCAGGACGAAGCTCGTGCCACCAGGGTTATGTGCATATATAAACAGAGATTCATATAAAAGGGCCTTTTAAGGGGCTCTTAACTACCGGGGACCTCGAAAAAAAGAATACTGATACTGCTGTGGATGTTACATGTGCGTGCAAATGCCCAAATCCGAGGGCTTGTCTTGGGCAGACCCGCCCGCAAGGATCTTCATCCTGGTGGCTCGCTGCGCGCATAACCATTAAGTTGGGATTTATAGTGTATATTGTACATTAGACTAGTGATATTCCTCTTGACGCTAGACTCTAGAGTGCTGGACTTGGCAGATTGTGCGAGGTTGTTTAGATATTGTTAATATACAATTCCGCGGCAACGGTTCATCTAGCTTGAGCCGAGGGATCTGCAAAGAATGCATTGGTCCTAGCATACTATGTATGTATATGTTACTAGAAAATATTGAGTAGCATCAGGAAGTACATTGGGCTTGAGGCACCAGGCCTGGGTCTGTCTACAGCGGATAGTCGCCCATGTTAACAATAGAAAATAGAACAGGTTATCGGGTGAAATGCTTCACGAGAAAGGCAGAAAGCAGACTCAGTAAATAGACTACTCCCGAAGTCTGGAACCGGTCAAACCATCCACGCAACATTAATCAAATAAACTTCAATCCTGGCCCTGCAGGATCGGACGGAGTGGGTCGGGCAAAGAACAGAATTGAAGTTTTCCCGATCCGCGATTGGCCTGGGATGCGGTTCGTTACATCGGACCCGTTTCGACTCAAGCCGTTGTATCAGGCCACGAAATGTCTCAAACTAAGCAGGATCTATTCGAACCTTGCGGAGTAAATTCCGCCAAAACCGTCTCGCATACCGCGCTCCATGCGGTTAGGCTACCTCATAGTTCATTGGGATGCAATCCTTAGCACCCGACTGGCAGTCTCTTCCGGCATGCTGAGGAAAGGACTATGACTCGCTGGTAATCTCTCGACGTTTATATCCACTCCTGCCTTCCGCACGTTTTCGATCATCATCTCCTGAACCATGGGAATAAGAGCGGCATCCTGTTCGCACACAATGTATGTGGTGGGACTGCTGCGATACGCCTCGTGTGAGATTGGGTCGAATTGGGCGGATTTCGGGTGGACCACCAGCTTCTTGGCCCATGCAGCGGCTTCCTCCGGGGGGAGGTCGTTGAAAAAACAGGGCGCCGGGTCCGGGACAGTCAAAATCTCCCTCTCATCCTAGAAATAGTTGTTAGCGAGTGCATATCAGTTCAGGTAAGAGACTACAGACATCGACAGTTATGAAAGGGGGCAATTGGCCGCCAAACATCCCCGCGAGGCTGCTGCCACTAGGGGGTATAAAAGCAGTCATGTAGATCAAACGTTTGATCGCCAGCCCGTGTAGGGCATCAGTGCCAACAACTCCACCATAGGAGTGCATCACGGCGATGACGGTCTTCCCATCATCAAGGAGCGATTGTGCCGTCTTTCGGATGAGCGTCACGTCATCCTCCAATTTCTTCGTGGGGGGCACATCATTGTTGCAGGTTAGAAGGCGAGGACAGACTGCTTCGTAGCCCAAGTCTTCAAATGCCTTACAGAAGGGGGCATAAAATTCAGGATGATGCCATGCCCCGTGAATGACAAGGATCGTAGGGCGAGTAGTGGTTGTATCAGTCATGCTGGTCTGCAAAGGTTGTTTCAAACGTGGGACAGAGATGAAAAAGTCCTGCAAGCAAGCGTTATTCGGGGTCCTGCAGACTATTATATCTCCGACAAACTGGCTTGTTACTTGTGGTGGGGCAGCGACCCCGGCGACGATCGCATGCCACCAGAAAGCAGCCAGATGAGACATGAGTGTAGTCCACTTTACCGGTATCAGTTAGTCTCCTGTTAACTCAAGGTCCCTAATTGAAAGCCCCTCCTGCAGTGCTACGCTACGGCTAGGTATCATGCCATTGCCCTCACTAAGCTACCACCAAGTTCAACACCAAGGGCTATCTGGGACTCCATAATATAGAAATACTAATATTCTTAATTCCCAACTCAAAAAGCACGGTTATGGAGTACTAGATATCTAATTGGCATGGACTTTGCCACAGTACTAACACCTTTTAGTTTTGTGTCTCTTTGCTATTAATAGTATGAATAACGTATAGTCTCTTATAAATCCATATCAACACCCACTTATACCTCACTTGACTGCAAGTACAAGTAGTCTTGGTCCACATATCGAGAGCGCGAACTCATTGGCCAATAGTCCATAGGGAGAAAATTAGGTTAAACGTAACTATGAGAAGACGCATATTGATCCACCACGGATATTTCCGCACTACCGGCTTTGCATGGCGCTATCGTCCGTTTCATTTTGCGACCTGATTTCTTCCATAGGTCGCCTATAGCCCGCAATTAGAGTTAATGAAATATAGACAACTTCTTAAAACCATAAGACGAACTGAATGAGATCGATGACGGAAAAGTTAGCACAGACAGTCACTTGGAAGACGCAGGTTCAGCACGACTACACGGTGCCATAGATGAGTTGACCTATATAAAGGGATCTTAAGGTAGTCGTCTCGCAGCTCTATTAAACTCAAGAATTATGGCGTCTGATTCGTCTCACGAAATCCTCCACATTGTGGGGTTGATCCGACTGACAGCCTGTTTCTCCACTAGACTGCCGGTTTGACGCTGTCGGGATTTCTATAAACGGAGACTAATATTGATCTACGAGTTAATATTATGCGGTCGTAGAAATAATACTCAGTCCTATCACTACTTCCTCATGGTGCTGGACCTGTAAATGCCGAAGAAATCAAATAGATTAATACTAGACGATCTTATAGCTAAAAGGATCTCCGCAAAATTCAGGATCAAAATGACCAAGGACCGACAACCCCAAAATGAAAACCACGAATTTAAATCCAGAGAAATTTAAGGAGTGAATATACAACTCGCCAGTTCCCGCAAAGAGCCTATACAGACGGAAACAGGCAGACAGCCTCCACGCAAGACCTAAGCAACAACAACAGTCTGATTGAGCAGGTCCAGGTATGGCCAAGCGCTCGCCTGCAAATAAATCACATTAGCGTCTTAATCTCATCGATGCGATCGTGGGAGGTTAGCACTTACCCCGACAATTGCTACATGGGCGACGTTGATCTGTGCGTCTCCCTTGGCTATGGAGTCTGGGATCGTCACGGTAAAGTTTTGATAAGGACCCAGGTTATCGTGGTACTCGGGCTTGAAAGGCCCGTTATAGAGGAGAGTGCCCAGTGTGTCTTTCGGAGCCATACAGGGGTTTGAGGCGCAGGATGCCACGCCAATTGCGACACCCATCTCCTCGGAACCAGTCAGGGAGTTCTGATACGGCAGTTAGTCTCGGCTAGGCTGTGAGATGTAGGTCCGAACTTACCGGGCGCAGAACCTGAACAACTAGCTTCTCTCCTGCAGTGATCTCCTGGTCTTTCTTGGGCAATCCGATGAAAGCATTCTGCGCCGAGACGGCAGTGGCAAGGAAAGCGATAAAGTAAGGGGCCTTCATGTTGTTGATATGACTCAAATGATAAATAATTATAGTGAAATTGAAGGATGTTGAGCTACTGCTTGCGGTTCTAGTCTTGGCCTTTCTTCTTGATGTTGATTGATGTTGATGTTGATTGAAGTCGAGGGAGGCAGAAGGGGTTTTTATGCCATTGAGAGATGGGATACAGGCCTATGTTAGGGGCACACCCACTAGACGAAGGTGATTCGTTAAGTCTCTGCAAGTCTCAGAGCGGCGAGCGAAGCCACGATTGTGGTTGGCCTGAAGGACCCAGAATCCGAGGTAACCGACGGTTGAAAATCCCCGACACTGCCGAGATCACCCAATCTTGACCCATGTTTGGTTAACCCCATGAAAAACATGCATATTGTATGTAGGGCCTGATGCTAATAATACCATCGTATTCTGAAGGAGTTTTCCTCTCTCTCTCTCTCTCTCTCTCTTCCCCTTCTATGTAAACTGGCGGCCATATTTCTTCCAGCTGTTGAGGTTTCAAATTATGTTTTGTAGATTCGAATCTTGTTCGTGTGGGTCTCTTGGGATGTGACCAATTGAGAAAAGACTCGATTAATATCTGTATGGCTTATTGAGCATCTGAGTTACAAGACAAAATATACAATGACTATAAATAAGTATCAAGAATGACAGGTCAGAAAGACACATTATGGGGTTGTTGGACAAGAAGAGAGACAGGTCTTTGTTTTGAGCTAAGGAAACGGCAGGGTGCCTGAACCAGCCCTAACGAGTTATCTCACGGTAGACTGGAAAAGATGTAGTATCTGCCCAAATGATGAAAACACCAGAGCTAACCGGCCAATATATTCTCTAAACATGTCATTTTGCTTAATTACAAGCTTCAAGTAACGAATATAGCTCGATGGAGCGGCATCGACGCGAAATGACGTCATATATCTATGTTACTTCTGAGTCAACTCGGCAAATCAGCTCTTGACAGCGCAATGCACGAAGGATCGCACTAGAGGGGTTAGCTGAACACTACACGATCTAATTATAGGAAATAGACGTAGAGTTGAATTGTGGAGGACTGAGACAATTGCTCCTATAACAGCATGATAATCTCATGATTTACCACTGTCCATTGTCTATTCAACAGCGGGCAAATGGTTCATGTTCAGGCATGATCACTTTGTCCATGGCATAAAAGCCTGATGAAGGGATGGATTGG